GAGGACGAGGGGGATTCTTTTTTGGTTGTTATTGTGGGGACGGGGTGTGAGGGATGAACAACCAAAAAAGAATCCCCCTCGTCCTCACGTACCACCCCACCAACCTCTGGATCCAACGCATCATCCTCCGACACTTCCGCCATCTGCAATCCGACCCCACCACCAAAGACACTTTTCCCTCCCCAACCTTATCTGCTTTCCGGAGGGAACACTCTCTCCGTGACTCCCTTGTCCGCTCCACACTCCCCTCCAGCCCCACCACACCCGGCTCTTTTCCCTGCAACCGCAGGAAGTGCTACACCTGCCTCCACACCTCCTCCCTCACCCCCATCCCAGGCCCCAAGACGACTTTCCACATCAAGCAGATGTTCACCTGCACATCTGCCAATGTGGTATACTGCATCCGCTGTTCCCGTTGTGGCCTCCTCTACATCGGGGAAACCAAGCGGAGGCTTGGGGACCGCTTTGCAGAACACCTACGCTCGGTTCGCACTAAACAATTGCACCTCCCAGTTGCGAACCAGTTCAACTCCCCCTCCCATTCCTCAGACGACATGTCCATCCTGGGTCTCCTGCACTGCCACAACGATGTCACCCGAACATTGCAGGAACAGCAACTCATATTCCGCTTGGGAACCCTGCAACCCAATGGTATCAATGTGGATTTCACAAGCTTCAAAATCTCCCCTCCCCCTACCGCATCCCAAAACCAGCCCAGCTCGTCCCCGCCTCCCTAACCTGTCCTTCCTTCCACCTATCACTTCCTCCCACCTCAAGCCGCACCCCCATTTCCTATCTACTAACTTCATCCCGCCCCCTTGACCTGTCCGTCCTCCCTGGACTGACCTATCTCCTCCCTACCTCCCCACCTACACTCACCTTTACTGGCTCCATCCCCGCCTCTTTGACCTGTCTGTCTCCCCTCCATCTATCTTCTCCTCTATCCATCTTCTATCCACCTCCCCCTCTCTCCCTATTTATTTCAGAACCCCCTTCCCCTCCCCCATTTCTGATGAAGGGTCTAGGCCCGAAACATCAGCCTTCCTGCTCCTCTGATGCTGCTTGGCCTGCTGTGTTCATCCAGCTCTACACCTTGTTATCTCGGATTTTCCAGCATCTGCAATTCCTACTATCCTAATAACACCCCACTTTCTCAAGTGTCTTTGTGTTTGTTTTGCCTCGTATGAGATGGTAACATATGAATTTGCACTGCAGTTCTCTGTTAAGCCAAAATCCTTCTGCTATCATGGAGTCCAAAACTGCACACATTGTTGTGATAAATACAAAGTTCCGTGGATGCTGGAGATCTCAAATAATGACAGAAAATGGTGGAGAAATTCAGCAGGTCCGGCAGTATCTGTGGGAAAAGAAAGTGTTGACATTTCAAGTCAAATATGACTCTTCCTTAGAACCAGTTCTGGTTAACTCTCTATAGTATTATGATTATCATCTTTCAAAAGTTTTACATACAGTAGAATCACCATTATGTCTTTGCTATTCTTGCCGTAAAAATCAATTTGACAACACTACAGTTGTAGAATCACTGAATTTTTCAGCACAGGAGGCCTTTTAGACCTATACTGGTCTTCTAAAAGACCAATATGCCTTTGTCCGTATCCTTTTACATACTTTTTAACTATCCATCCGTATCCCTTTAAAGCTTATCACAAGTTTTGCTTCCACGACTTCTCTTAAAAATTCTCTGTAAAAGTCTAATTTTTATGGTAATCTAAAATGTTATACATCACAGTTTTTGATTTACCCATCTGTGCAAGCCTATTCTTTATTTAGCTTATTAAAGCACTCCTCAGTTTTGAACTACTCTATGAGATCTCGTGTTAACGTTCTGTAGTTGAAGAAAGCCCTAGTCTCTGTCCTCTCTTATCATAATCAGAACCACTCTTCCTCATTTACTGTTATATGACAATACTGGATGTTCACCCACTTAACATAGAACATTCTGCACACTCCTTCATTCCCCGCCCCCACACCCTCATAGTGGTTCCAGCTGACTACCACTGTTTACATCCTCCATGTGTCAGAGTGATTGTCAGTAAATTCCCACTACCAGGATCAGGACACAGGGCAGCGTAAGCTCTGTCATAATTACCATGGTTCAAGAAATTCGAGGGCCATAATCTCCTGGTATCGTTTCATTGATGGGAAAAGCAAGGCAAAAGGAATGTAAAAAGACTGCTCTATGTGCTATGGCGTGGAGCAGCTGTATCTCTGCCTCCTCACACTAACTAGTATTTAATCTACATAAACAGTCTCAGCACTGGGCGCTCAGTAACCCAGCCATCGCACACCTCCCCTCCCCTCTGCCCCTTCCACACTCCTGCCACAAGCCCTGGGATCAATAACTAATTTTGGAAGCTGATTAGGTTGCAGTGGGGGAAGTGGGTTTGGACTGAAATCTCGCCAGAGGACACAATCAGCTACTAATAAGTGCCGTATAGCTCAACTAATGGCATGGCAATAGAAAGTACAGGAAAGAGTGAGGGAAACATAGATATAGCTTGCTACAAACAATTGGATTTTACCTCCAATCCTTCATAGAAATTCCAAACCAAAATGAGTTTTCATGGTACATCATTACTTCTAGTATTTTGAATAAGTAAATCAAAAATTTAGTTCCTATGTTGGTGTAAGGGGAGAGGTTTTTTGAATTGCGATGGCTGTGTACAAAAAAATAAGTTGACATCCACACTAGAAATGACCCATAGGATCTCAGTAATTTTTGGTTAGATTAAGGATTGGACAACAACTGAACTTCTGAAGGAAAATATCAAGTTTATGTTTTATTACTCTATCTTTCACTTTCTCTTGTTCTCTGGAGTTTCTTGTTGCTTTAGAAAGACCATAATTTTTAGAAATTCCAAATAATTCTTCTCAAAGACACTCATGCGATTTACCTTTCTTTTAGACTAGACCAATTCCTTTCACTGTTCATGCCATTGTCACCAGTTCAGACTTGGAGATTGATCGTCAAACGATTGACTTTGGTTATTGTTCGATCTATGAGTCTGTGTGGACTACTATCAGCCTCACAAACAAATCAATCCTGAGCCAGGAATATGGATTTGTTGATATTCCAGAGGTAAGAGAAAAGTTATTGAATTTCAGTCCTATTGATGTGATATTTAACAATAAATAAAATGAAATGCAGGATAAAGCGTAACCTTTTGACTAAATATAGTGGGTCCATGGCCGCTTCTGTCAATGGTTCTTCATGCTGACTTGATGGGAGGTCCTGCACAGGCCTCTTGTTATTTGGTCCAATAATGTCATTGAAGTCTAATCAGCATGTTTTAAACAAGGATCCCATCAATTTCCTTAGGTCATCCCTTTTTATCTGCTTCCCAGCACAACATAAATTTGTAGCACCAAACTTTATAATGAGCCTTCAAATCTAATTTGTTGAGAATGGACCCTTGAAAAATCTAAAAATAAGGGTTCTGATGGTGGTGCAGTATCCCATTCATACAAGGCAGTAGGAAAGGTTGCTTTGTTTGAAATGTTGTTTTCATTAGAAAATATTTTTCAGTTTTTTGGCATCAAAAGACAGAGCTCTTTAATGACCAATAACAGGGATCAATATTCCCTGATAATATCACAAGCACATACAATAACCTGGACTCTTAATCCAAGCTTTATTTTACACTGTAAAGGGAATATTACTAACAGCTAACAGAATAGACTTTGTGTAACATTAACCTGTTAGGATTTGGAATTACAGTTTTCTGGATTATTTCAATAATTGTTGATCGGTAATATACAATTTTCAGCAGTGTTATTACGATCCCTATTGTGGGTTATATTAAGGCTTAAAAATGTAGAGATAACAAGGTGTAGAGCTGGATGAACACAGCAGCCAAGCAGCATCAGAGGAGCAGGAAAGCTGATGTTTCGGGCCTAGACCCTTCTTCAGAAAAAGGGTTTTTGGGTTTTAAAGGTTTTCTGAAGAAGGGTCTAGGCCCGAAACGTCAGCTTTCCTGCTCCTCTGATGCTGCTTGGCCTGCTGTGTTCATCCAGCTCTACACCTTGTTATCTCAGATTCTCCAGCATCTGCAGTTCCTACTATCTCTTAAAAATGTAGAGATTTGGTTTCAGTTTAAGGTGAATTGGAGGATGATTCCTTTATTGTCCCACTCCTCCACTGGTTACAACAAAACTTGACTTTAAAAATATGAGGTGATATTGCCATTTATATATTAGATATATCAAATTATTTATAGCTCAGTATCAAAAACAAGTAAGCCCACTTCCTTATGTAACAAAGAGTTGGCTTACTCCAAACAAAACTTAATGTTGTAAAGATTATTCACAAAATTGTTTATACTGTGCAAATTTATGTAACTACCATTCTTGAGAATTAGTGTACACACATACATACACAGGTCTGGGGAAAGATATAAAAACTCTGCAGAGGGCTATCTTTAAAGTGCTTTATTTGCCAACTAACAATAAATTCACCAAAAAGGACTGTTCACAGATTGTCCCAAATGCTGGTGTGCGACTGAAGTCACCTTCCACATAAACTGGTGGCTCTGGGATTTCTTCCTGGATCAGGTATAGCTGGCTGATTTTTTTTATCATGAGAGTAGGACTGATTCAGAATTCTCTCTTAAGAACTCTCCACTTGCAGTGTTGAGCTATCCAATGTTGTTGCAGATAGATTATCTCTCTGACATCTATGTTCAAATCCCAATATCTTATTACACTAAAAATATGGACCATGTGACTTCTCTCTGAAAATATTGTACACTCAGTGGGCTGAATTTTCTCAAAAATCAGCTCATTGGCAATTTTGGAGGGTTTCCCTCTGAAGCCCATGCAACTTTTCTCTCACAATATTACGGTGCTCAACTCATTGAGTGTGCACCATGCCTCCACAGCTATCTTGCTGTTGGCAGCAGTGAAATGCTTGTCAGGGACAGACCTTATAGCGTTCATATCGCAGGCATCAATCTTTAAATCCAGCAACTGGGGTATGTCAAACACTGCCAGACTGGTCTGAATTAATCACCAGGGTTAGTGCAGTGCCCTTGATTTGCAGGAATGAAACCAATGCCACAAGAAACATAATGACCTTCTGCCCTCCACAGGGTGAAGTACTTCTCTCTGATCTTCTTAAGATCTTCTGTCTGCTACCTCACACTCACTCTAACTGTGCCATTTCTCCCACCAAGGCCCATAATCCACCAACTGCACTATTTCATGCCGCAATGGCCCTTAACCCATACCAACCTCCCAAACTACTAACCCATCCTGTCCTCTGCACTTCATACCTGCTCATTGAGACAAACATAGAACATAGAACAGTTCAGCACAGTACAGGCCCTTCAGCTCACGATGTTGTGCTGACCTATTATCCTACTAAGATCAAACTACCCTGCATACCCTACATTATACTATCATCCATGTGCCTATCCAAGAGTCGCTTAAATGTCTCTAATGTATCTGACTCCACTACCACCGCCGGCAGCGCATTCCACAGGCCCACCACTCTCTGTGTAAAGAACCTACATCTGACATCTCCCCTACACCTTCCTCCAGTCACCTTAAAATTATGACCCCTCGTAATAGTCATTTCCACCCTGGGAAAAACTCTCTGGCTATCCACTCTATCTGTGCCTCTCATCACAAGTAACCACCTTTCCTAACAGACAAAGGACCTGCCCCTTGACTGACCATAGTGCCCTGAACTGGTCTAAAGACTGCTCCCCTTAGACTTTCAGACATAGCCATTTGGCTGAAGCACATAGAGTCATAGTCATAGAATTATACAGCACAGAAACAAACCCTTTGGTCCAACTCGTCCGTGCCAACCAGACATCCCAACCTGACGTAGTCTCATTTGCACTGTATTTGCCGTGTAAGTTGCTCCCATATGCTGTGAGAGTGATATTGACATAGTACAATGCCAGTCAATAAAATGCCCATCCCCTTGACTGTTCATTGCTGGCAAACAGTTCAAACTGCCTAGCTTTCTATCTGCTCTAAAAGGCAAGACAAGACAAAGCAGAGATGCTTTGACATCCAGTGAGCACAAGGTGAGTGAGTGCAAAAGACAGCGAGTTAACAGCTGTAAGATGCACCCAGCTGTGATCATGAGTTGGCTCTCTGTTCCTATGTGCTAAGCAGCCTGGCAGTACCATTGCAGTGAGACATGTCAGTCAGCTCCAAAGTACAGTAGTAAAGCACTGAACTGCATTGTACCATGCTAATGTGATGAGGCTTGTGCTTTGCCAATGCCAACCATTGTGAATGAAGGGTGCGGGCAGTTGCTGCCCATGGACCATACCCTGAGATGTTGGGATATTACACAATATGGATGCTTGGAGAAGAAGCCATGAACAACATAAAACAGTACAGCACAGGAACACATATCTGTGCTGACCATGATGCCATTCTAACCTAATCCCATCTACCTACTCCTGGCATGTCATGCTTTATTCCCTGCCTGTTTATGTTTTTGTCTAAATACCTCTTAAATGTTGCTATCGTATCTGCTTCTACACCTACCCTGGCAGTGCATTCCAGGTATCTACCACTCTATATAAAAAACCTGCATCAGACGTCTCCTTTCAACTTTCCTGCTCTCACATTAAACCTAGTCTCCTAGTATTTCATATTTCCCCTCTGGGAAAAATACTCCAGTGATCCACCCTATCCATGATACATCTATGAAGATGCAGAGGATTTGGGAAGAGTTTTAAATGAATTCTTTACCTCCATATTCATAAAGGATGATGTGGATATAGTAGTCCAAGAGGAGCAGTGTGAAATATTGGATCAAATAATTATAACAATACAGGAAGTGTTAGAGAAGTTGAAATCCTTGAAAGTGGATAAGTCACCAGGGCCAGATAAATTGTCCCCAAGGACATTGAAGGAGGTAAGAGAGGAAATAGCAGATGCTCTGAGGGTTATTTTCCAGTCTTCACTCGACACAGGTAAGGTGTCGGAGCGCTGCAGGAATGCAAATGTTGTTCCTTTGTTTAAAAAGGGTACAAAGGAAATGCGAAACAATTATAGACCGGTTAGTCTTAGATAGGTGGTGGGCAAATTGTTAGAATCAATCCTCAGAGGTCAGATAATAGTCACTTAGAAAGATATGGACTAATCAAGGATAGTCAGCATAGCTTTGTTAAGGGAGGGCCATGCCTTATAAATTAGATTTAATTCTTTAAGAAAGTGACAAGGAGGATTGATGAGGGTAGTGCAGTGAATATTGTCTACATGGATTTTAGTAAGGTATTTGCCCACATGGTAGACTGGCCAAAAAAGTAAACACCCTTGGGATACAGTGTAATGTGTTGAATTGGATTCAGAGTTGGCTTAGTAACAGGAAACAAAGAATAGAAAACTATTTCAAGTTGAGTTCCACAGGGCTCGGTGTTAGGACCCGCTGCTATTTGTTTTATACATTTACGATTTGGACTTGAACGTTGGGGCACATTGGGAAATTTGCAGATGACACAAAAATTGGCCATGTAGTAGAAAGTGTAGAGGATAACTGTAAGCTCCAAAATGATAGGGATGAGTTATTAGAATGGGCAGGAAAGTGGCAGATGGAGTTCAACTTTAATAAGTGTGAGCTGGTACATTTGGAAAGATCAAACCTACAAAGGGAATTCACAATAAATGGACATGTACTGAAGAAAATCTAAATAAATGATAACAAGCTAAGAATAGGAGAACACATGTGAGCTGGACTGAATGCAACCCATATAGTGTGATAATGGACCTAGGAGTATGTGAGAATGGAGTATGTGAGAAGCAACCCATGTCAAAATAGGTCTAGATGTTCAGTGGGTAAAAAAAATGGAAGAATGGAATCAGGCTTTATAGTTATTGAACTTGATGCTGAGTCCTAGAGGCTGCAGGGTAACATTCCGCTAAACCTCTTTTGCACCCTCTCCAAGGGGACACAAAGATCCTGTCAAAGCCCCAGCAATCTCCTCCTTTAATATCATGGGATGGATCCCATCAGGCCTTAGGGACTTACCTAACTTAATGTTTTTCAAGACACTCAACACTTCTTCCTTCTTAATATCGACATGCCCTAGAATATCAAAATACCCCTCCCTAATTTTACCATCATCCATGTCCTTCTCTTTGGTGAATACCAATGCAGAGTACTCATTAAAGAGCTCATCCACTTCCTCTGGCTCCATTCATAAACTCCCTCCTTTGTCCTTGAGTGTACCTGCTCTTTCCCTACTTACCCTCTAGCTCCTAATATACGTATAATACGCCTTGGGATTCTCGTTAATCCTACTTGCCAGGCGATTTCATGGCCCCTTTCGTGCCTCCCAATTCCTTGTTTAAGTTCTTTCCTGCTTCCTTTATGTTCCTCAAGGGCCATGTCTGATTTGTTTCCTAAACCTTACATATGCTTCCTTTTTCTTTTTGACTAAATTTTTTACTTCTTCTCGCCATCCTGGGTTCCCAAATCTTGCTATTGTTGTGAAATTGGGTAGAGTATTTGATGTTTGTAAAATGATAGGGGGAAGAGTGTGTGGTCCCTTTAAAAGATAATATGATTTTTTAGGCTTGGAGATTTTTTTTAAAGTCTGCAGACAGCAGCAGATACACAGAGAGTTCTTGAAATTAAAACTTTGTATCATTGCCTGTTAGCAGGCAAAGCAGCATTTTTACCAAGACAACAGGTTTTTGAATTTAGCCAATTAATTTAAACCAGGCCCTAGATACCAAAACCGAATTAAATTTAAATCTGATGGTTTTGACAACCTAGAATCAATCCTATTGTAAGAAATTAATGGGTCATCAAGGGTATAAAAGAAGAGGGCATTTGAAAATCAGTGTGAGAGCAACTGCAATCGGAATAGAGTTAATAACCAGCAGCTCAAAAGAGAAAATCACTTGCTGTCACGGAACACTCCAAGCTCTCACAGTAACCGTCTTCTAAATAAAGATATAGCAGCACTCTTAGCTAATGTTCCTGACACAGTAATTCAGTGGAGAAAGGTGTTGCAGACTGAGGATCAGCGGACATGGTGTGGAACATTCCAGAAGACATATCCTGTCTGTACTTTTGAGAGACTATGTTTTAAGTTTCTTTTAATTAATTTGGCTTATATAAGTGGGACTTATATTTATTGAAACAGCATAGTTAGTAGTTAAGGGTGAATTGTTCAGTTTGATCGTAGGTCTGTTGCTTTGTTCACTGTTAGAGTTATATAAATAAATTGTTACTTGTTGATTATACAGTGAGTGAAAGGATTTCATTTCAGTTAACCAATCCTTTATAACAGTTTGGGAAGTGAGAGGCAGGTTATACCACTTTTCACACTTCCTTTAAACAGATTATGAGATGAGGTGAGCTTCTCTGCACGTTTCAGTTTTAGTTATAAAAGGGGGTTGACCTCTGCTTCATAACACTATCCTTATCTTTCATCCTCACAGGAGCATGCTGGTCCTGAACTCTGATCAACCAGCCTTTAAAAGACTCCCACACATCAGATGGATTTTCAGATATACCCTGGCACTGAGAGAGTTCTAGCCAATACTAGGAAGTTAAAATTACTGTCTAATAACACCCCTGTTGTTTTTACATCCTTCCATGATCTGCCTACATAACTGTTCCTCTATCTCCTGCTGGCTATTGGGAGGCCTATAGAAAACTCCACCTTTCTTATTCTGAGTTCTACCCATAAGGCCTCATTGGTTGGGCCCTCCAAGATGTCCTGTCTTAGTGCATCTGTGACATTCTCCTTAATCAGTAATGCAACTCTTCCAGCCCTTTTACATCCTCTCTATCCCACCTGAAACATCTAAACTCTGGAACATTAAGCTGTCAGTCCTACCCTTCTCTGAACCAAGTTTCTGTAATGACTATAACATCACAGTTCCACATTCTAATCCAGACTCTAAACTCATCTGCTTTACCCGTTATACTCCTTCTTTAAAATAAATACTCTTCAGACTGCCACTCCCACTGTGTTCATTAACCTGGCCCTGCAGGTTCTTCCTATTAGACTTACTTAACTTCTACCTTCTCCTCAATCATTCCATATGCTGACCTACTGCTCTGGTTCCCAGCCCCTGCCACACTAGTTTAAACTCTCCAAAGTGATGCTAGCAAACCTCCCTCCAAAGATATTGCTTCCCCTCCAGTTTGGGTGCAACCTGTCGTTCTTGTACAGGTCTCACATGTCCTGGAAGACATCCCAATGATCCAGATACCTGGAGACCTCCCTCCTACATTTGCCCTTTAGCCACGCATTCAACTGTGCTATCTTCTTATTTCTGGCCTCACTAGCTGGTGGCATAGGGAGCACTCTCAAGATTACAACCCTACAGGATCCTGCTTTTTAACTCTGTCTAGCTCCCTAAATTTCCTTTGTGATCTCACTTCCTACCTTTGTCTGCTCATTCCCCTTTCAGAATGTCCTGTGCCTGCTAAGATACATTGTTGATCCTGACACCAGGGAAGCAACACACCATCCTGTTGTCTTACACGTGGCCACAGAAATGCCCATCTGTGCGCTGACTATAGAATCCCCTATCACTACTGCTCACCTACACTTCAATCCTCCCTGCTGTACAACAGAGCCAGTCGTGGTGCCACTGATCTGGCTGCTGTTGTTTCTTTCCACTGAGAGGCCATCAACCCCCCACAACTGTATCCAAAATAACATGTTTGTGAGGTAAATAACCACAGTTGGCACTGTACTGCCTGAAAAAATTGTTTTTATTTTCTCAATGTTGAGAATCTCCTTATTTCATGCTCACCATTATTTCCAACCTTTCCTGCTATTGTCCACATTGTTCAGAAGCTGAGAAACTTCAGCCCATTATCTGCCTGTTCTATGTACCTGTTTAGTTATTATTGTGTACATTTATTTTGCTCAGATTTATCAGGTAAAGGTTCTCTTAGGGTTTCCAACTAATCCTGGAGTTCTACCACTTATTTTCTTACCCTCAGTTCTCCATGCATTCTGTTAAGTGATTATAGTCTATCAAGCTAGATCCTAATAAACAAATTGTCCAGTATTCTGAACACTGGCATCATAACAGAAGTGATCATTCACATAATACTTCACACAAGAGCCACACATGCTTATCTGTTAGTACTTGAACTACTAATTAAAGAACTCCAAAAAATCAGATTACATTTGTAGTGATGCAAAGATTTTTTTTTAAAAATTACTTTTTGAAATAACTGCATAGAGGCTGGTATCACCTTACCAAGTCACCCTCTATTTATTTGTATGGCATGGCAAGCCAGCTTGGAGTCAGTCCCCTGAACTGAGGAGATTCTAAATCTCCTGGTTATATTGATCAGCCAGGGCTTTCCTGATTGGCCTAGGTAAACAACCCCAATCAAGGATCTCATCGTCAACGCGATCCAGCTGGTTCCAATCACTACACTTTTATTATTGTGCTTAAACTTGTCTTAGCATGTAGTCCTCAGCTCATGACACTGAATGTAAAATTTGATGCAGTAAAGCTCAAGGCTAGTTTGCTTGACCCAAAACATTAATTCTGATTTCTCTCCACAGATGCTGCCAGACCTGCTGAGCTTTTCCAGCAATTTCTGTTTTTGTTTCTAGTTTGTTTACTTGTCACTTTTTCTGTTTTTTACAGTATGTGGAGGTGCAACCTAATGATGGTTTTGGTGTACTTTTACCTCTGGAAACTCTGAATATTGACATTATGTTCAAAGCCAAACAAGCCAAAGAATATGCCTTTGAGTTGATTTGCAAGTCTGAAATTAACAGGTAAGCAAAGCTAATATGGAGTATCTGCTTCTAACTAGGACAGGTTAAAAAAAGTCTGATTTTATTTTTGGAATTACTGAGATATTTTATGTCTTAGGGTCTCTAATGGATCATTGATCTGTAGTAGTGATGGTAGACCCCTCATTATTTTCTTTTGTCCAAATTGTAAATGATTTCATTGTCTTCTGTCAACCTTCTCATGACTGAAGGTTTCAACATGAAATCATTATGGACCTGCACAGAATTGTCATGACAAGAGAGTTAAGGATTTAAAAGGATAGGCAAAAAAGTGGCATTAAGGCCTCAATGTGACTGGCCATAAACTTATTAAATGGTAGGGCATGCTCAGCGAACTGAACGGTCTACTCCTGCTCCTGTCTCTTATGAACTGATTGGTGTTTGAGGTAAGCGTCCGCTGCTGCATGGCCTTATCGTGGGCTCATTCAATATTGAGAGTTTGGCATAGATGGCCCTCTAAAGTACAGGCATAATATCTGCTAATGTGGTATTTCCTAGGGATCAAACTGAAAGACTTGTCACTATAATTAATTTATAGAATGAAATTTCAACCTGTTCACAAACTGGCAGACTTTGAAATTCAGTAAAATAAACGCACAAGATAGACAGTAGATATAATAGAACTGATAAAAAGTAGTAAGAAAGCATAGATCACCTCGTGCTTCTTTTATGTCAGAAAGTCAGGTTCTCTTCTCAGAAAATTTTTCACTTTGAAGATAAAGTTGGGACAAAGGAAATCAAAAGGTTCATTTTATTAATAAATACCGTTTTTACTCAAATAAAGTTCAAAAGCATAAGTCTCCAGGGCCTAAGGCGAGCAAGGAAGATGACAAGCTAATAATCTGCCAGATTTAATGGTACGATAATTATGTACAAAGTTATTTGAACATTTTTGTCACGAAGTAACCATGCTAATGACTGTATTTAAACAATATTAGCATATTCTGTCTCACCTTTCACAAAGCAGCCTTGAAGTTGGCTTATGCTCAAAGCCCAGTTCTACCTTAGTGAGTGCACAGTTCTTAACTTTTTTTTTTAAAATTAACCCTGAAGTACCATAAAGAAGAAAGAGAACAACAGAGAATGGGCAAAATACTCATCTTTTTTATCTTCAATGATACTTGCTAATAAGGACAGTGGACAATAACAAATTCTGTTTAGCCTGTTAGCACTTTCTATCATGACTGTAGCAGGAGGAATGCTTATATTCAAGACCCATGACTTCACCAGTCTCACCATGAGTGTACCTGTCTTGGTTCAATCACCAAAATGGCCAAATCCACTCATTTGTATTGCATCCAGACTAAAAGAAATATTGACCAGGCTTCCGTAATGAATTCAAAACTAATCTGTTTATTATAGACAAGACTCATTCTGAAAAAAATTGGCAACTATTTATTACCACCTAGGGTATGGTCCAGAATTTAAATGGTGCCCCATTGATCCCATGCTCAGACACGCTCAGACAACACAAAAAGGCAAGGCTCTGCAGAGATGATAAGTTTTATTTTTTAATAAAGGCAAAAGGGTGAAAAACAAAACCCATGAGACAATGTCTGAAAGCAAAGTACAAAATCTGATAAATTCTCACATCTGCTGAAATTTCCTGTTGACTAAGCTGAATTGCTGACAGCTGAAGATTGCTGACAAAGGTCCAGTTCCGATTCCAATGAACTTAAATTTGTGTTGTCAAGAATTGGTCACAATCCACCACTTAAGGCTTCACAAGGTAGACAGAAGGACTGGCATTTAGAAACTCTACCGGCTTCCCAGGGGCTCCTTTAAGAAACAGAACTTCAGAAAAGCTAACAGCTACGGAGTATTTTCTCTACTCACTCTAACTTCTGGGTTTACAAAACAGAATTCTGAGGCCAGAAGCAGTTGTATAGACCAGTTGTCCTCTCAAAGCCACTCTTTTTGTCAGTACTTTAGCCAATAAACCCTGTTTCTTACCTTCTTGCTTTGCATAGCTGCCTTTCCAAAGTCACTTGATTTCCCAAAACACCGCAGGTGGCTTGCAGCACACATTAAACTTTTGATGTCAGTAATTATCAGATAAGTAACAGCCCACATACTTCTGAACACAATTGCAAGAAAGCACATGATCCTGTTATTTCAGAAAATGTCCAAACAATTCCACGTCTTCATGTTCACATAGTTTTTAAGTATTTGTATATATTCCCAACAACTCTTTCCAATATGTATAATGTCAACTTTCTTCCACTGAGGTAATAATCCAGTGCTAAAATGAAAAAGCTCAATTCCCTACCTAGCATCACTCTGGGAGTACCATCATCACAAAGACTCCTATGATCTAAGAAGAAAGCCTACATTCTCAGAGCAGTAAAGGAGGAGTAATAAATATGGTTTAGCCAAAGTTTTTCACGTTTCTCTCCCTACCATTTTTTTTTTTTAAATGCTGGAAATTTGCGATGAAAGCAAGGATTTCCAGATAAGGTAATATAAAAACAAAAGGCGAGACACCATGGTGAGATTAAGGATGACAGTTTTAAATACAAGGCATTAATGGTCTGGAAATCAGGGTAAATTAATGTACCTAACCAGATGCACCATCTCCCATTGTAGCATTGCTAGAATGTATTAATTTGATTGCAAACAGGGATCAAACTGCACCATCTCTATATAGATTCAGTGACAGACTTTACAACTGAGCCATTAGAACAACTGGAAATTTATCTTGATGTATAAATATTTTGAATAGTTATTGCTGAGGAATCAAATATTCATTATTTCCTATGGTGTGCAAGTTATTACACTTATGAAAATCACTTCTATCTGTTTACAGCTTTGGACATTGTTCTGTGTGAAAAAATACATTTCTACTTTTTTTTTCTTTTATAGTTTATTAATAGCCAAGTATGAATATAGAGAGAACACAGCTAAATGTAAATGTTATCTTTGATTTGGTCCTATGTTGCTGTTTCATTCCTCAAAGGATTAAAAACATTCAACTGAGGCATGCCTTTATTCCATCAAACACCGTGACCTTCATAAATATGTACATATGAAATATGTATTGAGTATAGGAATTGGGATGTTATGTTGAGGTTGTACAGGGCATTGGTGAGACCTCTTCTGGAATACTGTGTGCAATTCTCGTTGCCCTGTTAAAGGAAGGATATTATTAAGCTGGAGAGCGTTCAGAAGGAATTTACCAGGAAGTTGTCAGGATTGGAGGGTTTGAGTTATAAGGAAAGGCTTTTGTCACAGGTGTGGAAGATGTTGAGGGGTGACCTTATAGAGGTTTATAAAATTGTGAAGGGTTTAGATAACGTATTGGCAGGTGTCTTTTCCCTAGGGTTGAGGATTTCAAGACTAGGGGGCATCTTTTTTAAGGAGAAAGATTTTAAAAGACTTGGGGGCACTTTTTTTATGTGTCAAATGAATTTCAAGGGAAGTGGTAGATGCAGGTACAATTACAATGTTTAAAAGACGTTTGGGTAAGTACATGAATGAGAAATGTTTGAAGGAATATGGGCCAACTGCAGGCAGGTGGGACTAGTTTGGGATTATGGTCAGCATGTACCAGTTGGACCAAAGGGTCTGTTTCCGTGCTGTATGACTCTATAAACGGGAATCTCATCTGTGACAGTGAGTTATGCTAGATATTTCACTAGTAAAGAGAGTACATAAGCCATGAGAATCAGGGGCATAAATGAGTTATGATTATGAGCAAAGCAACACCTGGATGTTGTCAGCAGTGGTGAAGAATCATTTTTAATAATTGGGCATGTCTCCAGCCTCAGATCAGAATTTTGAGCTAATTAATTCTGGGGCAGAGGCTGCCAGCAAATCATTAAGTGCTAGAAATTATCACTTTTGAGTTAAATATCAATCCTATGAGCAGCAAATATGCTTACCATTCATGTTGAATAAGATTATTTGTTTAAAGAATAACACAATTTGAAGAAAAAATGATTTCACACAGGGGCATCATTTTAGGTTCTACTACAAATGGAGCTTAATGGTATGGCTGCAAACTGTACCTCAATTTATGGTTATTCAGCATTCACTGTTAGAATCATAGAATCTTTACAATGTGGAAGCAAGCCATTTGGCCCATCGTGTCCACATCAACCCTCCGAACAGCATCCCACCCAGAGCCACCCACCACCCTATTCCCATAACTACACATTTCCTATGGCTAATCCAACCAACTTACATATCCCTGGACACTACGGGCAATTTAGCATGTCCAATCCACCTATCCTGCACATCTTTGGACTGTGGGAGGAAACTGGAGCACCTGGAAGAAACCCACGCAGACACGGAGAATGTGCAAACTCCACACAGACAGTGCCCGAGGGTGGAATCAAACCCAGGTCTGTGGTGCTGTGAGGCAGTAGTGCTAACCACTGAGTCACCATGCTGCCCTAAATGTAATATTCTTTTCAATGTGATTTGGTTGCCGAGCCTTATTAAAAATAAAACAAAATAGAACAATGAAGATGTTTTAAATAATCAACACCAACAGGCGCCCAGTCTTAAAAAATATCATCCATCAAACTCTCACATCCACCTTGTCAAATCAGTTTCGTAATTATTCACTTTTCTTATTTTTGTTCCTGGCTTTTCCCACACTTTGAAATGTTGCCATTTTTGAACAATTCACGTATATTAAAATCGATAAATGGAATTATTTTCGCAGGAGCTGTTTGTTCTGAAATAGCAATGTACTTCAATAGATTCTGATTGAAATAATAGTTATTATTTAAAATCAATGTCACAATCCACGATGTGAAGAATTAGGTCACAGCTTTGACACAGGATCTTACATAGGAAGAACCATATGATGCCACTGTATTGCAGTCAGGATTAAAGAAAATTGGCTTGAGCCAAATTCTTTCCATGGCTGAATTTTGCAAAACATTTTGCCGAAGATAGGGGCCTAGAGGAGCATGTGGCAAACTGGAGGTGCCAAGTAACCACTTTGACAATACGCTCAGAATTGTCACCATCTAGTTTCTGTCTGGTGTGTGGCAAAATAGGAAACTACATATCAATGAGCTGAGATTAGATAATAATAGTACAAAAATACATGTAAATAGGCCTCTTGCCTGTCACTAGTGAGATTCTCATCTTGCCATTCAAAATTTAATTTCAGAATTAGACAAATTTTTCTTGATGTCGCAAATCTCATTTCTCTGATTTCACCATATTTTCCCAAGTGACTCGCCACTGTCCAAATTGTTCAGGGGTTGGGAATATTCTGTCCCAGGTCTTCAAAGCATAATCAAAATCCAACCATTAAAATTGTGGTCAGTGTCAGAAATGCTTAAGAGAACTCTGCTGAATTTCAACATTTTTGTGTCAGTTTGGAATTCTGATAAAATGTAAGAAATTTGATGATTTCCCTGATATCACTTGGATTTAAGCTTGTGTTGAATGTAGTAATTTCTATTTGGAACTGGAGAATTGTTTAGTTTTTAAAAAGGAAGAAAGCTTGTTCCCATCTTAATTTTGTAAGTTTTTTTTCAGGTCATCATTTGAGTAATGACAAATTACAAGAGAGAGTAGGCATCAGTTTTCTTATTCTCTACCAACTCGGAGGTGATTGGCGATTACTTTTAAAGAGGAGCTTGTGAGCATTTTCCCTTTTGGAAATTTGCTGTATTGTGGCAGGTTCCTCCAAATGATTTTGTTGAGATTTGATATGGACAATTGCGGAATCAGAACCCAAGGAGAAGGATCCGTATTGTAACATTACATGGCACTACCTGTTACTATATCAACAGCTCAAACCCTCTGCTTTCTGTCAAAACAGATAGGTAACTAATGCATGGCAAATGACTCAATTAAAATTTAGTGCACAATGATACTGATTGAAAAAGTCCTCATTGAAATTAGGTAAGGCAGTCTCAGTCTTGTGGGCAGAAGTTGGCAGCATTAAACTGTTTGTATTTAATGCATTATTGAGGCACTTTTACCCTACATCTGGTGACTGCTATACTTGATCTAGCAATACACAATGTTGATGTGCATTGTTGGAAATGGAAATAGTTATTTTCCACAATGCTAAGTAAAATGGGTGCTCAAATGTACTATAAATTGGTACTCACCACCATTCTAAAGCACTGTCCTGAAATATTACTATTTCAAATAATGTATGTTTAATAGTTGCCACAGCCTTCCCTCAAAAACACTTACAGCAGAGATAGAGGTCATATAACCACAGCAAGCCAACCAATTCACAAAAGGCACAATTTCATTTCTCCAAACATTCCACTTTCATAACAATAAAATTATATGTATTAACATTTATAGTTACACACATTACCAAGTATAAATGGTCACAAATAAATTCAAATTTTCATTAACAAAGCAGAATATATGTCTCCTCAATTCCACTTTCACCAATCTCTGTGCATGCAATGCATACATAGTCTTTAAATTATGCAGGTCTCTTAATGGTACGTGTGGGTATCGTCATTGGCAGTTCTTATATCTGTTTTTGAAAACAGCAAAAGACAAAGTGTGGAATGGTCAGGAGGCTGTCTGACATTTTGGTAGGTGTACATGGGTATCATCAACGTAGGCAGATTTCTCTGGGATCTTTTCAAATGCAGTTTGCTTTGGAACTACACAATTAAGAATTGTTCCGGACACCCTTTAATAGAACAGTCACGTTTCAAGCTGGTTTCACAACAAGGATTTTTTTCCAGAAGCTGGAGAGCTGAATAGAAAATCATTCTTTCTTTTAACAAGCTTTTCTCCAATTACAAATCCAATGCAACCTCCAGGTTGGCGAAATGCAGTTCATACATTGGGGTAGCGGAGATGGACAGGGGACAGGAGTGGCTAAAAGCTTACTGGGAGCTTACCTCCAGGTAGGTGCCCTCCAGCGTTTGCATCAGCCTGGGATAATTCTCTGGAATAAACCTTTAAAGGGCCTTAATTGGTTACCAGAAACTTGCACAGGCGGATAGCCCTTCCATTCCCCATCCCACGTCCAAGAAATGGCTGGGGAATAGGGGGCTTAGGGTTAGTAGTATGTCAGCTAATTTTCACATCAGCTCTCTTCCCTGCTCATTCTCATCAGGGGCTAAAAATCCCACCACATATCTTTATTTGGGGAATCTCTATCATCAAAGAATTAGATTCCATTTTCATAATGGAATACTTTAAATTTTTTTTAAAAATATACTTTAGAATTAATGGAGGGAAATTTGTCTTCAGTGAAATGGCCCATTTCACCCCCACCTGCCCCACCATGTTATAGAATACAGAGCTGTAGTGAAACTGTAGCAGGTTCTGCAATTCACATCAAGGGCCCTGATCAGAGTGCATTCTTTTCAAGGTGGAGCAGCTGGCCACATTACAACATACAGTGGCCAGCTTATTAGATATACAGAGACACGGGTTTAGGCCCAATCATGTGGCCGTGACAGACAGTAAGTAGCTAACCCGCTCATTACCTCATATAGATGAAGGTCAGGACACCAGACTTGAACAAAAAACAATCAGAATCACATTAGTCTGGCTGATTGTGAGGAGTGGAATATCCAGATCTGTTGGCTCGCACACCATGACGTTTTGTGAGGAGATTAAGAGATCTTGCATCACCACTTTCTCCCTTGAATCTGAGTGAAGTAAGGGTGTTGTGGCCCTGAATGGTATATTAATCCATCACCCTTTGGTGACCAGTCCAAAAATGTGTCACAATGTTCTTCAGTCCTTAATTTCTTAAATGAAATGTTGAAAATAGCTCAACCTCAACCTTATTGCTATCTTTCTATACTGTATTGCATAAATAAGATGAAGGCATCCTCAATGGTGTGGCTATTATTGAACCAGCACCTTCACAACAGAGAGGACAGTATAATAAAATGCTCCACTATTATAATATATTACATTGCTCGTACTGAATATTCTGTTTTCTACATCATTGTTACCTAAACGTACTCAAAACATCTGCCATTAGTATAGAAAATCAAGCAGTGCTATTACAAGTACAGGTATGATTGTAGCATATTAAACTTTCACCATTGCTAATCAAATGCATTAGATATCATCTCAAAAGGATCATTCTCACTGCTTAAGAAATCATTGATACTTTGATGCAATTACATTTCAATAACCAACATTTATCAATACACTTTGTTTTATTATTTAGGGAATTCAAGATTTCCTGTCAAGCTATTGGTGTCTTCCCTCCACTGAAGTTATCCCATTCAGTGATTCACTTTGCAGCTACAGCTTTAAATGATACATCTACCGTGACTCTGTATGTGGAGAATTCACACACCAGCCAAAATGAATTTACTCACCCCGTGCCGAGGATCGGAAAAGGAGAAACTGCGCCTGTCGGGCCAACATTATTTGAATTTGCCATTCCAGAATCTTCTTATTTATCTATTGCACCTGCTGTTGGAACTGTGATGCCAGGAGAGGTCAGAGTTGGTCCACAGCTTTTCCACAGAGTTCAAAGCAAACTGATCATGTGCTAAAAAGAAATTGTTTTGGTACTATGCTGCACATTTTACAACTGACCTCCCTCTCCTTTGAGACTCCCTTTAAACCAATCTCTTTGACAAATCACTGCTAATCTTTCTTTCTTTCCTTTCTGAGAAGGAGATTGAGGTATTTTGTTGTGGGTTTTACCTCTAGGAAAGATACTGAAATATTTTACATACAATAAGTGCGATCTACAGTTATGTTACTTATATTGTGGTTTTCATAGATCTGCAGAAGTTGATAATCAATTATAACCATCAGTGGTGAGCCAAATTCAGCATGTCTCTGGGAACTTATGCAGAGCATTGGCTAAACCCCATCTTTTCACCTCCATCACTTAGACTTGATTTCAGTCATGAGCAAAGGGACCAGCGTTGCAAATTAATCTAATTTTGCATCCTTACTAAACATACATACAAGGATAACTGGTCTTTGCAGTGGAAAAGTTCACACTGATGTGGAAAAAGTGCTTTCCTCATGTTGGAGATAACACAGTGTGGAGCTGGAGGAACACAGCAAGCCAGACAGCATCAGAGGAACAGGAAAGCTGACGTTTTGGGACGGGACCCTTCTGATGCTGCCTGGCCTGCTGTGTTCCTCCAGCTCCGCATTGTGTTACCTCTGACTCCAGCATCTGCAGTTCTTTCTATTCCTAATGTTGGAGTTGTTTTAAGTGATAGAGCGGAGTTGAAGGAGCATTGATGTGCATCAAGCTGGGCTTAACCTTAATGTGGAGACAATAAGGACTGCATATACTGGAAGCCAGAGTCTATAAGTTTGAGGCTGGAAAGGCACAGCAGGTCAGGCAGCATCAGAGGAGCAGGACTTCCAGCCTCACATCAATAGACTACACCTTAACATGTTCAGTGTAGGCCCTGCTTGATCAAAGGGGAACACATTCCCATGTGTCATCCTTTAAAATCAGTATCTGTAACAAATCACAATGTGAGGTATTTTGATAAAGATTACTAATCTGTTTTTCCTGCTTGAGATAAGCTTATACCTGTTTTTCTGCTTAGCAAATTATGTAAATATTGTCTTTAAACATGAAAACTCTGAGAATGCTTGACAGACATGTTCCTAATCAAGGAGAGAATGATGAATTCTATCATTTTCTATTTAAACAATGGCCCAGATCTTCCAGCCTTTGGATCGTCAGAAGTGAGTTGGCAGATGACCAAAATGGTAGTCGGGAGTCGGGACTGAATGGGAACTGCCCAAATAGTTTGAACTTCCAATGGACAGTTCTCCTTCTTCCCTGGACCCTCCAAAAAATCTCTAACCCTGAGTTAGATTTGGAGACTTTACTCATTTCTGATTTATTTACATGAGTAGTCACCCAGGAAATGGTGAACAAGAAAATCTTAGTCTAGCTCCTTAGTAACTGCACAACTGTTCTCTTTGATTCGTGCCCACTAATCCCTTCACCCCTTCCAACATGACCCAATCCAACCTCGCCACCCTAACCCTTTACCTCACCCACCCTACTCACTTACACACCAACACAGTCATTCATCCATTCACTCAGACACTGAGGAGCTATGGGACATTTAAGCTGTTACCAGAATACACAAACTGATGCCATAATAAGGGAGTGTGGTTCAGCGCAGATTTAGTTTGCTGATATCTCCAAACTTTCATGTGCTAACGGAGTCCTGCAGGATGTTCCTTCAGAATTTAGCCAGAAAAATTGGAGGAACTGGGCAGATTTTTGTCTCGTCAGTACCAGAAACAGGGGTTTTAATGCTGAACAGAAATTTGAGCCTTTGAATTTCAGCCCCAATTTTATGTGCCTATGTGATCAGCTTTTCTTCAAAAGTTTAATTTTTTAACAAGTTCTTTTTTCAAGTTTGAAATATTGTTGGCCTTTCATTGTACTGCTTTTCCATAGCAGTAATTTATTTGATTTGTTTGTCATTCACATTTTTTGTAATCTTAAAATGTTATCCATTCTATCTCTGAACCACAGAAATGTTTGGTACACTTGTTATTTAAACCAACACTACCAGACATACTGGTGCAAGAAGAAGCTGTACGAACGCTTTGCCAAGCTGCAGAAACAGAAAGGATTTTGGAGAAACAAGAAACTGAGAGCTCAGAATCAGATGATTTATCAGTAAGAATATTTTGAACATTTCATTTTGAATATTTGGAAACATTGTTTTTGAAATTGCATTTCACATTTTTTTCTGGCATGGCCAATAAGTATTAACTTCCAGTTTTGCCAGTTCACTTCACAAAACTGTTTTGTATGCTTAATTTTTTCTATTCTTATTGAGAAAGTTGATTTGAATTGACTGGAGGATATGAAGATAATTTTGGCAACTGCTTTGTGAATAACATTAGCAGGATATTGTCTTCAGTATGTAAAGCATGTGTGCAATAGACTGGTGAATTACTTGTACCGCATGGTACATATTATGAAATGTGTAAAATAAGCTAAACAAAAAAAGCATAGTTTACATAACAATTAATAATTTCTAATCCAGTTTTAGTGTAGTAACTATTGGTGGAAATGCAATCTGTGTGACTACAAACTCTTGGGTTTTTGTTAAAGAGATGAATTTTGAATTTTGCATTTTGAAAGTAATAAAATGTGAAATATACATGGGCTAGAGGTCAGCAGTCACAGTATGAGCAGAAGGTCAAGTCTGATAAATTTAGGAATGACAAAATGAGAGTTGGGTGACAAGATAGGAAAACATGGAACGGTCATCGTGGATAAAACTCTAGTGTATGTCTTTTCACCTATCAATATGTGGATAGATGAGTTCATGAATGCACATGACTTGACATTAAAATCGTTTGGCCATGGATTATGAATAAGCTGAAAAAGTGATGAAACAGATTCAGTAGCTATCTCTAAACGGAGTTGGATTCACGTTTGAAGGAGAAAACTCTTAACGGGGTTGTGAGGAGAAAGAAGTGGTCTTATGGGTTACTATTTGGAAGATCTGACACAAAATTGATTGACCAATGGGTTCCTCCATGCTATACTATTCGATGATCTGTGGTTACATCAGACACATAGAATATGTATTAAATGGCTTATTTGAGATTGGAATCAACATTTTGCAAAGCAATATGCAGAATAAGGAGATAGGACCATAAATGACTGAAGACCGAAGCTGAAAATCTATTCAGAGTGATGTACTATCTGCCGCATTTTCTGATGACACATTAAAATACAGTAGTGCCTATGGACATCAATGACTCTGGAGAGCACTGTAAGCTTTGAGCACAGTATCTCCCATTGTCATTGCTAATTTACAATTGGTGATCAAATCCAATGTTAAGTTACAACGCAGTACATTACATTGAGTGGTCCTGTTGGCAGAGTAGGCTAAGAGAACAAAGGTGCCTGGTTTATTATCACACCTTAAAATGACTCTGTTTATTACAATTCATAGGTTTTAACATTTGACCTTTCACAAACTGAAATGCAACTCCACACCCAGAGGAAAAATAATCAGCTTGATATATGAGGCCCTTTACAATTGACCAGCCCACTGATATTCAGTGTCTGCTTCTACATGTATTGAAGAAGGGCACAGGTAAAATACTAGAACATAGATGATACCAGTCAAGGATTCAATACTTTTAGAAAAGGACACAGTGCAAGGAGGAAAGAATATTACCAGAAAAATAATCGAAAGATTTTTTAAAAATTACATTTCAAGTAATTTCATTCTTTGTAGAAAATTTCTAAGGTTTCTATTATCCAAGTATTAACAAGTATTCCATCCAATGAAAGATGATCAAATTGGGGAAAATGTTCCTTATGTGCTTTGGTTTGTTCTGCAGAGCAAAAAGAGACCACTGCCAAAACAAACAGAAACAAGAAGAAGTAGCCCAAGTCCCCCTAAACCTAAGGAAACAAACAGTATAAGTGACAGCTCCTTGTTTGAACCTCCCAATCCTGTAAACATTGCTCTAGAGTAAGTAAAGCCACAGTTATTGTATGATTTTTATCACTGTTATGGAGCAAAGGCACTTGGCAAGCCAAATGACTTCCTTCTATTCTGCAAACATTCTATGATCTGATTCAATGAGGAATTCAGGGTACATCATTCATGATATTCTATTAATTCATTACATAGCTAGAAACTTATAAGGAGGATATGTCCAAGAGGTCAGCCCATACTGGTAGTGAGTACAGGTCTGTGCTCAGCGGGATTTGTGAAATTATCCCAATAGCGTTCAGATTGGGGGAGAAAACAATGTTTTCTTCACAAATTTTAACTTGCACCTTTAGTAAAAAAAATCAGTTGCATTGGCCAAAGACACGGAATACAAACATTTTGGGTTCAACCTCCAAAGAATGAGACAAGACAACCATGAAGCAGGGATTCCAAACCTTCATTAATGGCAAAAACCAAGGGTGCTTTAAAGGGGAATCGCTAATGTTATGTGATTATCCAGATGTGCACTTATAAAATCTTTCACCTTTGACAAGATCTAATTTATACCCCAAGGTTGAGAAAATAGGCATTCCTTTCAAATAATCCTGTCCTCTATTCTTTCAGTTCTGATGAATATAATGCAGCCCTTGCTTCACTGCTGAGGAATTTTAAGGAAGAATTTCATTCGCTTGTCATTCCCTGTTTTGTTCAATATCAAGGATCAACAGACCATAAAGCATCAGGTTATTCCCCTTACAGGTAAAATAGCATAAATGGTGTTGTACTTTCAATAAATCTTGTCTTGGCCTAACCGACTCAGCATATAGCTGTATTGTCAAGTGTTGAAACATGTAAATATGTCATCTACGGCCCTTATTTTTGACAAATCACAGAAATTACATAAGATATATAACACAGAAACAAGCTACAGGCCGAACTAGTTCATTCTGCAGCTTGTACTCCTCTTGAAATTCCTCTAATCTTTTCTCATCTAAATCTATCATCATTACCCTGTATAGTTTATGGAGTAGTGTAACTGATATTATATATGTAATGAAGGGTACTTTTCTTGGCAATTTTAATTGCATGGAGTCCAACTGTTTATAACTTCTAGCAATTTTATTAACAGCAATAATCACAAGACTATTCAATTGTTGGTATCTTTTTCTGAAAGTTTTTGGCAATAGTGATCTTATGTCCAACTTTTAGTGTTACTTTTAACCTGTTTTTTTAGGTATTGCTTAATTCATAGAACCATAAAACTCAAAATTCTGTTCTCCCATTAAACTGTGATAACAATGGCTTTTGATCACTGATAATTGAGTGACTATAACATCAGATAAAAGCAAAGCTCCGAAGAAGAGTCAGATTGGACTCAAAGCCGTAACTTTGTTTTTCTGTTCACGTGTACTGTCAGAACTGCTGAGTTTCTCCAGCACTATTTGTTTTTATTTCACACCATAGCAAGGGATAAGATCATATCAACATCATGAAGCAGAGTTAACTGGTCTTGTTTGTGCCATAAAATGGATCAGTTGTTTGGTAATACAAAATGTAATGGAAGGTGTATAATATAGTATTATACTTTGGAATTTGGATTTCAATAAAGACAGATAGGTGTTGATCAGTTCTGTAGAGTTAATCATTTTTAACCAGTTCATAGAAACATAAAAACATGGAAGATAAGGGCAGGAGGAGGCCATTCGGCCCTTCGAGCCTGCTCTGCCATGGATCATAATCATGGTTGATCATCCAACTCACTAGCCTAATCCTGCTTTCTCCCCATAACCTTTGATCCCATTCATACCAAGTGCTATATCTAGCCGCCTCTTGAATACGTTCAATGTTTTGGCATCAGCTACTTCCTGTGGTAATAAATGCCACAGGCTCAGTTCAGAAAATTAGCTGGAACAATGACCTAAGTGCATCCACTCCAAGAAAGCATTTGACTGCAGTCAAATATCTGGAAGATCCCCTGTAGTGTTAATAGATGGAATGTTTAACTTGCTGAGTTTACAACAGACTAAAAAGCCATAAGGATAGTTTTTGACTTTAGAAAAAAGTTTCAAGGTCTCAGTTCAGAGGAACCAGGAGTTTAGTTCAGAAGGGAGAGCAGTTTGTCCCAGCAGAGAGTCAAGTTTTATTTTGTGGGAACCAGTATCCTGTTTATGGAGCTTCTAAGCCAGGAGAGCTTGGGAAAGAAGTTTTCAAGTTTAGACCCTCAGAATTATGAAAGATTCATGCCAGTGGACTCAGAAAGGAATGAGAAAACTGTCTCTTCAATCCAAAGGAATAAAAAGATGAGGAGTCAGCTAAGTAAAAACTTATTGTTGAGATAGAAGTGAAATTTCTCTGCAGTTGAGAATCTGTAAAAGGATAGTGTTGTGGAACAAGTTGAAACTTTGTCTTGCTATTTGTTGTTAGGATCTTTCTCATTCTCACATATGCATGACTTTTTTTTGAAGTATAATAAACTTATGTTCCATTGTTAGAGAGCATCTGTTGCCTCATATAAGTAATGTATGGATTAAGTATATGATCTATCAAGCCAGATTTCATTCTGGCATGTGACTTATCCAATATTATCATCATAACAATAACTTGAGTATTGTTGGTTAAGAAAACACTTTTGTTGAAAGCTTTTCATCTTGTATTCATCAGGACTGTTGCAAGAGTACCATTGTATAGGGAAACATTTTATATTGTGTGAGATTGGTTGGCAAGTGGACTCAATCAAGTCTTTATCAATGAAAATGTAAAGCTTTAATAAAATATATCTTTTTGCACCAATACACCTTAGGATATGTGTTATCAATTTACAGGTGGTGTCAAAATTGAAAAGGGAGTTCAATATTTACTATGCACTTTACCTAAAATCAATATAGAAATGCAGCATTGACAGGTGAACAATAGAACAGCAGCAGTTACACAAGTATACTTTAAAGCCGTATATGATTTATCAATTGTGTTAAATAAACCTTATCCATTGATATTTGAAATAATAGCTTGTTTAAAGGGCATGTTATTGTTGAGGGATGAACAATGAAGTAGATTTTCAATGTAAACATGAAACCTAGGTAGTTCTTACACAACTAGTGCCTGATCCTAAATAATGAATTTTTGCACGGGCAAGAAATTGAAAATTTTCCTTTTGTTTTTACTCATTTTGTGTTTTAAAGCTATACTCGTATTGATGCCTACTGTGGAAATAATCATTGATACTTTACGTATTTGCAGCATCCATAACACCCTATATCTAAAGGTGAATTGCCCTATAGTTGCCCCACCAATAGTACTCATTTCTGGTAACAAACAGAATATGGTGGACTTTGGAGCAATTGCAGTAGGTGAGAAAAAATTATTTAACTAACTGATTATAGCTTTGTAATAAAACAAAGAACTGCAGATGCTAGAGAACAAAAGCAGAAATTGCTGGAGAAACTCAGCAGATCTGTCAGCATCTGTGGGGAGAGAAACAGAGTTACAATTTTTAGTCTGGTAACTCAAAACATTAACTCTGTTTTCTCCCCACAAATTACTGAGTTTCTCCTGCAATTTCTGTTTTTGATTATAGTTTTGGTTGACTTGCAGAATTTATGATGGATTTCATTGGGAGTGTTCAATTCTAATGCTTCCTGTTAATCTGGTAAACATTCAGCTGACAAAGGAAGGTGCATGACCCAGTCTGCCTTCCACAGCACACACAAGTGCAGCATACTTTCCCATCTACAGACCAACCTCTCAGGTGGAAACTGGTTCTTTTTTAATTAAACCAGCACACATTCATCTATACCACTAATTAAAATACCAGTTCACAAGCACTATCCACAAGAGGCAGTACAGCCTTAAGAAAAGGGCACTAGAAGCTGTTTCTTTTTCTGTGTTCAGAGATGCTATTACATGCCTCTGAACTGGAAACTGGGTTCATTTTCTCGTATCCAGAGATGCTTTTACACAGCACTGGACATTTTTTAACCACCTCTATCACTTGTGTTTTTGAATTAATTACCAATCTGCATACAAAGCTCATCAAAGGCAGCGCAATGGCCGTAGGTGTCGCTGGCTAGGCCAGCATTTATTGTCCATCCATAGTTACGGAGGTCAGTCAAGTGTCAACCACATTGGGCAGATCTGGAGTCACATATAGGCCAGACCAGGTAAGGATGACAGTTTCCTTCCCTAAAGTACATTAGTGAACTAGATGGGTTTTTCCTGACAATTGATAATGGTTTCATGGTCATATTAGACTCCCAATTCCAGATTTTTATTGTATTCAAGTTCCACCATCTGCTATGGTGAGGTTTGAACCTGGGTCCCCAGAACATTACCTGGGTCTTTGAATTAACAGTCCAGTGATAATATCACTAGGCCATCACCTCCCCACCACCAACTTACCCTTGTAACTTTTCACCTGTTATCCACCACAAATTAATAACCAATTTACATGCAGAGCCCGTTAAGAGCAGTGCACTGACACCAAAGGTGGGTAAAAGTGGATTTTTTTTTATATACTCTCTAATCCACCTAATAAACAGATGTTCTGACACACCATTGGAGCAGATGTGACTTGAACCCAGATCTCTTGGCTCAGGGGTAGGGACACTACCAAAGCACCACAAGAGCCCCTTTTTAAAGCAGCAAAAACTGCTTTCAGGTACCATTGAGAATGTGAGCAGATGATGGTTTCAATCCATTGACCTCTGGGTTATGGACCCTGCGTGGTCCTGCTGCGATATTCTACTGTATGAGTGGAAATGGGTTATTTTCCTTTGTTTTCAGGAATGAGTTTTCCTTCATATCTTCTAATCAACCTGTTCAGAGATGTGACTGCACACTTCTTGAACCCAAATCTGCTAGCTCAAGAGTTGAGACACTACAACTGCTCCACAAGACCCCATTGGAATTGGATTCTCATAATCTTTCCCTAATTATCAGTTGCTGTTGATCACAACTGGAGCCAAGATTAATCCATCTCACTCGTTTTGAGTAGAATGAATTTTTGGAATGGGAAGATGGTCAGCCAGCACCAAATATTTAATGTCTTTTTCCAGTTCCCTTTGGAAACCTGTAACAGTGATTAGGTTTTCTCGTGCTGTTTGATTTGAATGGACCATCTGAAGGGTCTTCTGGCACAGAGGCAGTGTCCATACCACTGGGTCAGAAGGTTCAGGTACAATTCCTACCATGGTCATGGAGGTGTGTCATAACCCACTAAACCAGTTGATTTGAAAAATACAGTCAATTGACACAACTTACAACATTAGTGTTTCATACAATGAAATAACCTTGAAAAGAGGCTGAAATTCAGAAGTTGACCAACATCTATCAGACTTTGCTTCAGCTAGCACCTCCTTGGAGGGAGGAAAGATTCAAAATATAGAATTCTTATTAAAGAGTTTCTTGAACAAATGCTTCAATATCTTAGTTAACAAGGTGTAGAGCTGGATGAACACAGCAGGCCAGGCAACATAGAGGAGCAGGAAAGCTGACGTTTCGGGTCTGGACCCTTCTTCAATATCTTAATCAGGTTTTCAGTTTGCCAGCCCCACAGTTGTGTTGTACACAACTTCAGTAGGTGTTTCATTACAGGTGGTCATTTCCTCCAGCTTCTTGCTCTTTGTTACAGCTCCCTGGCAAAAGTTTATTAGCTATAAGAAGAGATTGGACAAACTTGGATTGTTTTCACTAGAGCATAAATGGCTAGGGGCGACCCGACAGAAATACAAAATTTTAAGGGATTATGGATAAAATTGGATTGTCGGAGTCTTTTTCCCAGAGTGGAAATGTCAGATACTAGGGACAATAGATTTACAGTTAGAGGGAGAAAGTTTTTTACATAGAGGGTGGTGCCTGAATGTGCTGCCAGGGGAGTTGTTAGAAGCAGACCTGATAGCAACGTTTAAGAGGCATTTAGACAGACACATGGACAGGCAGGGAATAGAGGGGTACGAACCGTGTGTAGGCAGATTGAATTAGTTTAGAATGGCATCAACGTTGGCACAGACCTGATGGGCCAAAGGGCCTGTTCCTGTGCTGTACTGTTCTATGTTCTATGTCTGATGTTGAAGCTTTTTCTAAGGGCCAGTTTTCCTTAAGGATTTGTTACACGCTTTACATTAATACAATTTACTTTCATATTATTATTGCAGAACAGAGAGTGCTTAAAAGAATTGAGATTCAGAATATTTCTGAATACCACCTGAATGTATCCTTCTGTGTTATAGTCATACTGGATTCCTTCATCACCTCCAAGAAGTTTGTGAAAGGTGCCCTTGTGTGCAGGCTGAGTTTATACTGTTTTCATTTATCCTTTTGTTTAATCTCTTGTGGTCTATGCAATTGTCCAATTGAAAAAATATACCAGTATCTGTCAATATTTTATTTAATGAATATCCACAGGTACGTTAACCTCTACAAGACTCACTAATTAATCTCTGTGTGGAGAGCATTGAGTATGAGTTCCCTTGGTAGCAGCCATTGGCCTGCCCAGCTGGAAAACATCACCCTTTTTTTATTCATTCATGGGATACCTACAGCGATACTAGTCTGAAAACACCTGGTCTCGGAAGCTAAGCAGACTCAGGGGCCCTCTGGTGCAGTGGTAGTGTCCCTACCCCTCGACTGAGAGACTCTGAACAGGTTGATTAGTAAAATAGGTTCATTCATGGAATGAAGGCATCGCTGACCAGGCCAGTATTTATTGCCCATCTCTAATTGCCCAGAGGGCACATAAGAGTCAACCACATTGCTGTAGTTCTGGAACCACGTATAGGCCAGACCAGGTAAAGATGGCAGTTTCCTTCCCTAAAGGACGTTAGTGACCCAGATGGGTTTTTCCAACAATAAAGCAAACTCCGGGATGAATCTGTAAAACTCTCTCTCTCATCTTATTCTCTACTCCCAAGTCAAATAGACATTTTTCACTTACTATTTCCCATAAATATTCTCACAGGACATCCGTCATGTAGGGATCGTAGGAGTCTTGCAAGTTTACAATGGGTTGCTAAATTTCATTCTTACTTCAAGTTGTACATTAAGTTGCAGTTTTGATTAGGTTTCTTCACAGATTGATATTTTACTCTGTGGAGCACTGGAATGTAGATTTAAAAAGTCCAATATGTGTTTTCTCTTCATTTTTCCCTGGGATGTGGGCATTGTTGACAAGTCGAAAATTGTTACTTATCCTTAATTGCCCCTTGAACTGAGTGGTTGCTAAGCTCTTTCAGAGGGCAGTTAAGAGTCAACCACATTGCTGTGTGTCTGGAGTCACATGTAGGCCAGACCAGGTAAGGATGAAAGATTTCAATTCATACTGCACACAGTACTCCCTAAAGGGCATTTGTGAACAAGATGGGTTTTTACAACCAAAAACAATGATTTCCTGGAGACCATTGTGGAGATTAGTTTTTAAAAAAAAAACATATTTTACAAATTAAATGTAAATTCCACCAGCAGCATTAGCCTGGCCCTCTGCATTACTAATTTATTGAAGTTATTGCTGTACCACTAGCACCGAGGTATTGCCAAGCTGCTTCTCCACAGAGACCAAACGATACTGAGTGTAGAACAACCAGTCTTTTTGCTTCGATAATAGTATATCGCACAATGCAGAACTGAAAGGGTAGAGTTTAAAATAAGAGTATGATGATTTATTAAATTGCATAGCATTCACAGCACATAAACAGGTCATTTAGCTTTGATTCCTATGTTCCACATGAGCCTCGCCCTACCCAACATCATCTAACCTTATCCATACATTATTCTGGGATAGTAGGAACTGCAGATGCTGGAGAATCTGAGATAACAAGGTGTAGAGCTGGATGAACGCAGCAGGCCAAGCAGCATCAGAGGAGCAGGAAGGCTGACGTTTCGGGCCTGGACCCTTCTTCTGAAGTGTTCATCTGCTGTGTTCATCCAGCTCTACACCTTGTTATCCCATACATTATTCGATTCATTTCTCCCTTGGTGTGTGTTTGTTGAGCTTCTCCTTAAAGCTATATATAATCGTTCATCTCAACTACTTCATTTGCAAGTTCCACATTCTACTCATTCTGGGTAGAGAAATTTCTCCTGAATGGTTTAAAGGATTTATTAATCAGTATCTCATCCTTGATATTATTTATCTTAATGATTTCAGCATAATGAGCAAATGAAATGCTATCAGATTCATTTAACTGTAGGCCTTAATTTTCTGTAGTCTTATCCAAGTGAATCCTTGACTAACAATGTTACAGCTGAAATCATCTGTTCTGGATCCATGTGGACCCTTTGAATTGTTGAATTCTCTTCGATCCCTACAGCCAGGAGCAACTCACAATCTCATTTTTTCCTTCACACCAGCAAAGAGCAAAATGGTAACATAGTTTATTTTCTTTAACTTATTCATACTATGTCCAATGTACAAAACAAGGAACTGTAATCTTTCTGTTTCACATTTGTTTTCATTTCACAATAACAGTAACAGGACATGGTGCTGATATTTACTGCAGTACCACTCCCATTGAAATTTGCCACCCACATTACATACTGTTTGTGAAAACGCATGCATGCATACTGGGCATTGTGAGAGCCCATATTTTCTCCAATGGGGAAGGCCTGTCATAATCATTGGCTTTACAAGATTAATGTCCCCCAGACTGTAAACACTGCCCCCCAGCCAGAGACTGGGATCTCTCCATTGTCCATCAGCATCCTGGCAATGGTGACCACTGGCATTCCTATGCCCACAGTCAGTGGGAGACCCCAGTGGAAGAGTGAGTAAGGATTGTGTAGTGATTGTAACCAGGTAGATCTCATTGACTATGAGATCCTTGATTGGGATTGTTAACAGATATAAACCTTAGATTCAGGAGTCTCCTCACTTCAGGGACTAACCAAGCTGGCTGGTCACAGCTAGTGTACTGTGAACGTGTAAGTAAATTGTAACTTGGTGATGGTGTACCGGCCTCTGTGCAGCTATTTCAGCTGGGATAGGAATTGTATCGGATCCTGTGGGTGGGAGTTGTAGGGAAGATAGGGAGTGTTTTCTTCAGTGGCAGACCTCTCCACTTGCCAATACAAGTTCCTCAATCAGCCCCTGAATGCCCTTGCTCCCTATGTAGTTTCCTGGTGGCCATTTCCCTGCTTCTCTTTGGATAAATATCAGTGCAGTGGGATGAGACTGTAGAGGGTATTATTTGCTCATGTAAGGGTCTCAATTGGCATCTAGATAGGAAAGCGCCCACAGACCTTCCCGACCAGCACTGATCAGATGGAAGAAGGAAGGTAGTGAGATTCCCATCCCCCCCTCCAATCCGTATGCTCACTTGATTAAATGCTTCCCCAGTTCCAAATTCTCTGAATGGGGAGACATTAAATTCCACCCACACAGTGGGAAATATAAAGCATTTTCACACAGTTCAAGAGCACTTGGGTGAAGCAAATGCTTTTTGTTTACTGCTGGTGAATTCTTGGGTTGAAGAATGATGCCGAAAAGGGGCAGCAATAGGCAGAGTGATTCCTCAGCACATTGGTCTGAACCTGCCAGAAGTCCACCTGCAGGTTTGATTTGAATGGGAGCAATTAATTCAGGGTGGCATTCAGAAACCCTGCTGCTGCTTGCCTGATGAATTCTAGCCATGATGTGGAGGTGCCGGTATTGGACTGAGGTGTACAAGGTCAAAATCACATTACACCAGCTTATAGTCCAACAGGTTCATATGAAAACACAAGCTTTCAGAGCCTCACTCCTCCTCCTTCAGGTGTTAGTCACCTACCTGACACTAATTAGTCACTAACACCTGAAGGAGGAGTGATGCTCCAATAGCTTGTGTTTTCAATTAAACCTGTTGGTCTATCACCTGGTGTCATATGATTTCTGATCTGATGAATTCTGACCAGCTTTCACATGTAGTTGGTCTGCAGTTGATAAGCAGGATGGCAAAGCAGAAGCCTGAAGAAAAGGGCCAGGGGGCCAGGGAGAGACTTTGGCTAGCAGCAGCCCAGCAGAATTTATCCAGTATTGGATGTTGCATTCTCATTCTCTCTGGTTTCACAAATGTATAAATTTTATGAAGTTTTTGGTTCTTTCTTTGTATCACCTCCAGTAGTCCCTCAAAGAATGATCATTTAAGTCATCGAAGCCCTGGTTTTGTGAGGTGGATATTTCCTGTCCATTGCACGCAATTAATTCCTCCTTTCATCCTGCTGTTTCCTGCTTCACAAAATACATGAAGAGCAATTCACATATCCAGATAATTAATTCAGGCAGTAGTTAAAACAAAAAATCTTCCATTCAAAAAATCATTGGAAAATTCAGTTTAAAGTCACAAGCCCGAATTTTAGATCAGCTCCAAATAAAAATATAGTGGGACTTCTTTAAAAGCATGATGGCTCAGTGGTTAACACTACTGCCTCACAGCACCAGGAACCCGGATTTGATTCCAATCTTGGGTGACTGGCTATGTGCAGTTTACATGTTCTCCCCATGTCTGCGTGGGTTTTGTCCGAGTGCTCTGTTTTTCTCCCACAGTCCAAAGGTGAGGTTGGAGGGATTGGTCATGCTCAATTGTCCTCTAGTATCCAGGGATGTGCAGGCTAGGTGAATTAGCCATGGGAAATGTGAAGTTACAGGGATGGGGTTGGGGCTGGTTCTGGGTGGGATGCACATCAGAGAGTCAATGCAGGCTGAATGGACTGTTTCTGCATTGCACAGATTTTATGATTCTGGTTTCCTGTCAGCCTAGCATTATGTACCTGGCTACTTTATAACCATTTTATAACAATGAGAATACACAGATTTCATTCCTGAAGAAAAACTCATGCATCTGGTTATTTCCATCTCATTGTTGAGTATTAGTGTGTTAAAACCAAGGCTAATATTTTGTGTAAGAGGAGATTTAGACAAACCAGAAAAAGCTTTTCAAGAATTCCGTTTACCTAACGGAGAGTAGAGACCCTACACAAACACATCCACCCAATGTTCCACCCTCGTGTCACTAGCCACAACAACTAGAAATTTACCCCGAGAGCAGTACCTTTCTAATTACTCTGCAATGGATAGCTATTGTGTAATAAGACAGACAACAGGGCACTTAGGAAGAACACCTTAATTATAACTGTAATATCCTGAAAAAGAAAGCTTTTCATATTCTTGAACACTGAACAATTTCTTCTCAGAACACGTTGGGCTTGGTTTTAACTGTGTGCAAGTGAATAGGGCTTTGAGCGACAGAAAATTTCACCCATTGCCTTTGTCATATAGCCAAATGTGCTGAAGGTACAAAGATAGGTGAGAGAGCATGTTGTGGGAGACAAAAAGAACAGAATTATGGTACTGTTTCAGAATAAGGACCTCCCATTTAAAAGGAGGAATTCCATCTCTGAGACATTATGGAGTTCAACCTGGAAAAGTGTTAGATAATGCAGTTGATGCAGATAACAGGCAAGGCATTACACTATGAATGTTATGACCCTGGGAAGTACTGAGGATCAGAGGGACTTTAGTGTGCATACCCATAACTCCTTGAGCAGGACAGGTAGCCTGCAGCTCACTGCCTGAAAGGGTGGTTGCCTCAGACATTTGCATAACATTTGTTGTAGTCTTTCACACTTTTAGAATTTTGTGACAGCCAGGATCTTTGTAATTTAGTGATCCTATTCAACTCACATCTTTTGTTACCTTTCATGAAAAGACATTGAGTCCTGAAGAAGGGTAATACCCGAAACATTGACTGCTCCTTTCCTCTAGCTGCTGCCTGGCCTGCTGTGTTCTTTCAGCCTCCTGTTTGTCTACCTTGGATTCCAGCATCTGCAGTTTTTTTGTCACTAATTGAGTTTCAGTGTCTGGCTGGCTCAGGGTGAAGCAGAAAGGCAAGTCGACAGAGACATGATCAACTCACTTTGTCGACAGTCTCCCTTAACAAAAGAACTTGTGAATTTCACATATGGCTTTGATTGTCCATATTTTAATTAAGTGTTTGATTGATTTTCAAGACTGTTTAGAGGTGATATTGCTAAAGTCACATGATATATTGTTAGTTATCTTAAAAGCTATATCCACTTCTAAACATTTTTAAGTTTGTAGTATCTTCAAGTATGTTGAAGAAATGGTGTTACAGTCAGTTATTTTTGAAGTTATGAAAATCTAACAAGTCCAATCAGCTGCTTGATATTTAAAACCAGAGTTAAGTGAAGATGGTGCTGAAGTGGATTGAAATAGTCAAGTAAAGGGTGTTAGACAAGCCAGCAAGCATGAGATAGATGAAACTACCGAAGTATTTTACAAAGATAAAGTTGAAGGAAATAAACTAGAAGATCCTTACTAATAATATATAGGAATGATACAACTTCATAATTTGTGAATAAGCATGTTAAGAATGTAAGTTTCAAACAGTAACTTAATGATGTTCTATCATAAACAGAGACAGAGGAGAGAACTTGATAAAGTACAGGATAATTTTAGTGGCTCATCACAGCAGTTAGTGAATAGTATAAAATGCTGTTTAGACCACACCTGGAATATTGCATGGGATTCCAGTTACCACATGACAGGAAAGAATAATTGCATAGACAGGGTAAAGAGGAGATTTACCAAGATGCTGCTTGTGCTGGAGGATCTGAGCTATAAGAAAACATTGGATACGCTGTGGTTGGTTACTTGGAACAGTAAAGGTTGAGAAGGAACCTGATGGAGGTGTCTAAGATTATGAGGGGATAGAAGATACATTTTTTTCCAATAGTAGAGGGTTCAATAATCAGGGGACGTTGATTAAAGGTAAGAGGTAAAAGGGTAAGAAGAGAATTGAGATTTTGTTTCACTCAGAAGGTGCTGGGAATCCGGAACTCACTGCCTGCAAAGGTAGTTGAAAGAAACTTTCATAAAATTTGAGCAGTATATAGATATTCACTTGCATTGCCATAGCCTCCAGGCAATGTGCCAAGAGCTGGAAAATGATATTAATGCGATCAGATGTTCTTTGACTAGTGCAGTCATGATGGTTGAATAGCCTTCTCCTGTACTGTAAATGTCTATGAGCCAATGAATTAATCTTCAGAATTCTCTTCCTCAAAGAGCAGTGGAGATCACACCATTGAACATATTTTCAAGGCTAAGCTAGCAGTGCTTTGATCTACAAGGGAGTCAGAGTGAATGGGTAACAGATAGAAATGTGAGGTTGAGACAATAATCAGATGAGTCATGATTATATCGATTGATAGAGCAGTCCTGACAACTAAATGGTCTACTCCAATTTCTCAGATTCTTATATTTTTATATTCTAATACTCTGTCAACAGGGTATAGAAATATAAGGGAAATAGAAGTATACGTTATAACCAATGTTTATAAGCAGAGTATAACTTGCATAGCTCCTTTCTTAGATGTTATTTATCATGACTACCCACCCATTTTTAATGTAACAACTGTGTTAGGAATATCTTTTCATTGTAATATAGTGTTTAACAAATCCCCGTGTAAAGTTGGAGAGTGAATTACCTGTATTTACTGAAATCCCAATTTGAGATGATCTATCATCTTTTCACAGTACTACGAACCTTTGGAAATCTGCAGTGTTAAAGGAAAGCTTTCTCTAATCCTGACTGGATGTGGTATAGACCCATCAGTGACATGTTCTGTAGAAAATGTATTGGATGTGGGATATGTTCTTGCAAATCAAAGCAGAACAGTGACATTTCAGGTAACTGACACCAAAGCTACTTACTTCCATCTTCACTCACCAGATTTTCCCTTTCTCTTTTTTCTTGAAGATGTTAATTTTTGTTGGTATATGGTTCTATGATGCTTGACAATGAATAACAGTTAAGCCCAATTCATCCCTCTTCTTACGTCTATAAACCTGCACTTCAAGCAAGGCTCTCTAAAGATAATGATCATATACAGGTAATCTGACTGATTTCTCCCTCCCTAACCCATGTCAAAAAGAATAATTGCAACTCCCTAAAGGCAGTTAACATCAGCGAGCAGAGCGCAGACTGAGTGCCAAATATGGTACCTTGGTAGTCTGATTCAGCTACTCATTAAATAATCTCTATACGTCAACTGTACCTTTTATAAATAAAGTTTCAGAAATACATTATTACTTGCACAGCAAAGTCTGCAAATTAAAATATGATAATAACTATATTTTGTTGGTTCAATATAAATTGAAATTCACAAACTCATTTTTTGTATTCAATGCTAATCATATATTTTACTGCAAATCAAATCATTTTTGCTGTTGCACATAACCAGTTTTCCGTATATAACTCATTTAACCATGGCCACAACCCAAATAATACATAAGTTTCTCCGTCATGAACTTTATCAGTTCTGTTTTCTTTACAAATTGCAGCAAAGTTAGAGTAATTATAATATGAAATGTTAGGATTAATTTAAAGAATTTGTATTCCCTCTAAATTGTTAAATTCTGATGTTAGTTTGAACATTTAATCCATCACATTATGAAGTGTCAAAGAGACAGAAGTTCTTCCTTTTGCTGTCGTTCATTATTGAATTCTGTTACGAGTACAAATTTATTCTCAAAAAAGCTTACTGATTTAACATAAATTAACCAAATTGGCCTTTCTGAAAAAGACTGCCCAAAAAGGTTGACTAACCTAAGTACATCTGGGTGCATTATATAATTTCGCGGTACAACTAAGGCATTAAAACTACCTGAAGACAAATGATTGAAATCCATCTGCGGTCCATTCATTGCAAAATACAAAAAAAAATTCACATGCTGATTTGGGTTGGAAATGCTGTCTGTAAATCCCACTATTTCTGTCTGTAAATCCATTGTTTTCAATTTAGCTGAACTTTATTAATACATCACTTTGACAGCTGGAAAATGCTACAATCCTTAATGTCATGTTTAGTGTGAAGCTGGACAGCCTGTCTTACAGCAAGCACAGAGAACAACAGGTGCTGCCAGAATTCTTGGCACCTGATCAAACATCTGGTTCATTAGTGGGTAAGTAAGTTCTGATTCTCTTAATTATTTGAAGCCATTTTCAATACAGCAATTTTATAGCCAGACAATTCAAGTGGTTCAATTCAACCAATTTTACTGCATTTTCACTGACTTTCTCTCCTGAAGTCAGAAATGCATTGGCGAGTTAGAGCTACATAAGCACCTGGTTCCATGTATTACCTTACCTGAGTTCCCCTTTTTTATGTGCTCACCCAATGCCTAGATATGTAGATTCCTGGCAGCATTGCATTGCTGGATAACAGTCAGAAGTCATGTGAGAAATGGAAAACATTGCCTATTATTATAGCGCCTTCTTTGTCATGATTTGGTCAGCTCCTGCTGGCTGTTTTATGAAGTTGAGTAATATTTAAAAGCTATTCAGGATTCCCAGTGAAACAATTGAGATTTTGGGAAGAGATCAAGAATAAAAGTAACCAAATATAAATAAAATGCAACATTTTTAATGCATTTTTTTTTTTACATTCTGCCAGGTACTCAAAATTATGGGGATCAAAGTGTCTTCAGTGTCTCTCCTATTAAAGGGTCCGTAGGCCCAATGCAGAGTCAAGAATTTGAAGTCACTTTCAGTCCTGATCATGAAAGTCTGTACTACTCAGATGGCATGCAAGTGGAGCTGTTTGACAAGGTAACTGGACAGCACCTCCTATCTCCAGAAAGGTTTTCTGTTTACAATGACCTTTACAGTATCTGTAGTTGCATTATTGCACTCGGTTACATAGATCTTGTTTCTATCGTGGAAACATTGACCGAGGATCCCCTGGGACTTTGTTTGTTGTTGATTAATGTGTGCTAGGAAACGATGTGGACAGAACCACGTTCATTTCTGACACCCCACACTCCAATAGATTGAAATGAATTTAACAACCAACATTGCTTGTTATAAAGCTTACGTAACATTATTGTGTAGCATAAGGGGAGTTGATGGCATTATGGTAATATCACTGGGTGAGCAATCCAGCACCCAGCTCTGGGAACAAGGTTTCAAATCCCACCATGATTTATGTTGAAATTTGAATACAGTAACAAAAAAAACTGGAATTAAAAAGCTAGCCTAATTGTAATCACTGCTGGTTACCATAAAAACTCACCTGGTTCACTAATGTCCTTTAGGGAAGGAAATTCTTACATCTGACATACACGTGACTCTGGACCCACAGCAATGTGGTTGAGTTTGGGCAATTTGGGATGGGCAATAAATGCTGACCTAGCCAGTAACAGTCACATCCCATGAACAATATAAAAGGAACTGCCATCTTGTCTTGGAAACAATACAAATTCTCAAAGCAGACATGTCAATGAAAGGTTTCTATTGTGCTGCTTATCAGAATGGCAAAATTTTTTTTTTCTGAAGAAGGGTCTCGGCCCGAAACACCAGCCTTCCTGCTCCTCTGATGCTGCTTGGCCTGCTGTGTTCATCCAGCTCTACACCTTGTTATCTCTGGCAAAAATACATCCTGGATTTAAAAACAATTTGGCCCTAGCTTGATTAGTTTGTTTGGGTGTTTCACGGCTTGAGAGAGGAACCAAGCCATACATTTCATACTGTCTGAGCTACGTGCAAATTGGTATCGAGACACGAGAGTAAGGGAAATAAACACGTAGCTAAAAGAATGGTGTGGGAAAGAGGGGTTCCTTTCGATGGGGCACTGGCATCAGTAGTGGAACAGGAGGGATCTGTACCATTGGGATGGTCTCTACCTGAACTGAGCTGGGACCTGTGTTTTGGCATAAAGGGTAAATAGGCTTGTCAACGGGACTTTAAACTAGAAAGTTGCAGGGGGAGGGTAAAACTTCCCCCAGTGTGGAACAAAGCAGCAAGCTAACATCTGTAGGCGTAGATTCCACTGTGTGGAAAAATATGAAAAAAAATGATGGGAAAGGAGAACTCAGGATAGATTATTAAAGTCTCCAGCACAGACTCAAATATGATAGAGTGTTTGGAATTTGCCTCCTCCCTCCTCAGTATCCAAGGGCCCAAACATACCTTCCAGGTGAAGCAACACTTCACCTGCACTTCCCAGAATCTAGTCTACTGCATTCGCTGCTCACCAATGTGGTCTCCTCTACATTGGGGAAACAAAGCGTAGACTTGGTGACCGCTTTGCAAAACATCTACGGTCTACTCGCAAAAAAGACCCTGAACTACCCGTTGCCTGCCACTTCAATGCACCACCCTGCTCCCTGGCCAACATCTCTGTCTCTGGCTTGCTACAGTGTTCCAGTGAAGCCCAATGCAAGCTGGAGGAACAACACCTGATTTTCCGCTTGGGGACCCTACAGCCCTTCGGATTCAATATTGAGTTCAATAATTTTAGGGCCTAAACTCTCCCATGTCCCAGCCCCCCACCCCACACACCAGGCTTTGTTACCACACAGCCTGCCATTACACACCCCCTGTTGTTAGTCACTAACAGTCCCTATTAACAACTATTCACTCTCCGAGCCTGATCGTTAGCAACTCCTTTGTCTGTCCAACTGTCTTTCTCTCTTTTTGGGCTCTATCCTATCGTTTACTCCCTACCCCACCCACCTCCCTATTTTCTGCATATAAACTGATGTTTTCCCAGCCACTATCAGTTCTGAGGAAGGGTCACTGGACCCGAAACGTTAACTCTGTTTTCTCCTTCACAGATGCTGTCAGACCTGCTGAGCTTTTCCAGCAACTTTGTTTTTGTTCCTGATTTACAGCATCCGCAGTTCTTTTGTTTTTTTTTATCAAAAAGCTACTTAGGTAGCAAGACTCCTGAAATAGAATGAGTGGGAAATTACTAATAAAGCCAATCTGAAATTCTAAAGTAAGGGCGCAAAGAAACCAAAGGTCTCCTCATCATGGCATGCTTTGTTAAAGATGCTTAAGGTTTGCTGTGAAACTGAATAATAATACCTTAAGACCATATAGGAGCAGAATTAGGCCTTTCAGCTCGTAGAGTCTGCTGTGCCATTCGATCATGGCTGACATGTTTCTCAACCTATTCTCCTGCCTTCCACCCGTAACCTTTGATTCCCTGATTAATCAAGGACATATCTATCTCTATCTTAATTGCTCGTAATGACTTGGCCTCCACGGCTTTCTGCGGCAATGAGTTCCACACTTTTCAGCACACTCTGGCTGAAGAAAATCGTCCTCAACTTAGTTCTAAAGAGTCATCCCTTCACTCTGATACTGTGCCCTCATGTCCTACTAGTGGAAACATCTTCTCCATGTCCACTGTCTCCAATCCTCTCAGTACTCTGTAAGTTTCAATCAGATCCCCAATCCTCCTTCTAAACTCCATCAAGTGTAGACCTAGAGTCCTCAACCGCTCCTCGTATGACAAGCCCTTTATTCCTGGGATCATTCTCGTGAACCTTCTCTGGACCCCCTCCAAGGCCAGCACGTCCTACTTTAGGTTCAGGAGCCAAAACTGCTCACAATATTCCAAATGCAGTCTGACTAAAGCCTTATGCAGAATCAGCATTACATCCCTGCTCTTGTATTCTAGCCCTCTCAACATGAATGCTAACATTGCATTTCTCTTCCTAACTGCCAACTGAACCTGCATGTCAAACATAAGTCCCTTTGTTGCTTCAGATTTCGGAAACCTTCTCCCATTTAATAAATAGTTTACACCTCTGTTTTTCCAAACAAAATGCATAACCTCATACTTTCCCACACTGTATTCCATCTGCCACTTCTTTGCCCACTCTCTTAGCCTGTTCAAGTCCTTCTGCAGCCTCCCCACTTCCTCAACACCACCTGCTTCTCCACCTATCTTTGAGTCACCTGCAAACTTAGCAACAATGACCTCAGTTCCTTCATCCTGATCTTCAATGTATAACATGAATAGTTGTGCTCCCAACACTCACTCCCTGTGGAACTCCACTAGTCACTGGCTGCCATCCTGACAAAGACCCCTTTATCACAAGGCATTTGAAAGCACAGAGCTCCAATTGAAGGTGATGGCCTTTTCACTTACAGTGTGGCCCGGTGACTGAGTAAATCAGTTTATAAACTGCTCAAAGCCACAGCAGCATTTCTCCTTCTGTGTTTATAAAGGAAGTTGATAGACAGATTATTGTCAAATAATTAATCTTTTTGCAGGTTGCTCATACGATCCAGTTGAAAGGAGCTGCAAGAGAACATTTGATGTTTGTTGAAGGAGGAGACCCAATAGATGTTCCAGTTGAATCTTTAACCATCCTACCAAGTTATGATGTATCAGGTATATATGTACCTAAATAGTGGAACAGGAATAGGCCATTTGGTCCCTCGAGCCAGTTCCACAAATCATTGAGATCAAAGCTGATCTGTGGCCTAACTCCATAAATCTGTCTTTGGCCCATATCCCTTAATACTTTTGCTTAACAAAAAATGATCTAACTCAGATTTAAAATGAACAACTGATCTAACATCTACTGCCATTTTGTGGAAGAGAGTTCCAAACATCTATCACCCTTTGTGTGTAGAGGTGCTTCCTAACATCTCTCCTGAACAGCCTGGCCCTAATTCTCAGACTATAACCCCTAGTTCTAGAATCCTCTGCAGTGACTGTAACGAAGTCATCCAGGTGAACCTCATAGAATATGAGTTCCCAATTGGGGCTGTTAATCTGGTCCAATCAGGGAGCCCTGGCTGACAGATATAAACAGGAGTGTCAGAGGTTCTTTTCATTCTGAGAGCTGTCTCCGAGGGTGCTGGATCAGTGTCAAGGATTTCCACGTATCCTGAACAGAGGGTATCTTGGTTTGCCCATGGCAAAACCCCAAAACAAAGCCGAGCCTCAGCCAAACAGTTAATATTTTTTTCAGGATACAGGCCAGCAAGCCATTGTAGTTGCTGCTGATATGCGGACTTGAGACAGCAAAAGAGACCCACTAGGCCTAGATGAGTAAGAGAATCATAGGCCGGTATCTAAGAGAGTGCACACCGTGGAAAATCCACCTATATCTGGCTTAGAACAGTTAAATTGTTTAGCAACATTCAAATCAGAACCAGTCAACATAAATGTCTGGTTAAATGGTCACCATCTAATGGAAGTCAATACAGCCCTGGCCGTTTCAGTGACCACAGAAACAGTTTTTAACAAAATTCACTCTGGACTCCAACCCTTAAGTTTGTGCAAGACATCAGCCAGACTGAGAACCTATACTGTGGAACCTTTACAGATTAAGGGAACAACTTTGATTCTGGTCTCTTATGAGAAGCAGCTGGTTCAGGTACCACTGACTGTAATATAAGGCTCAGGCTGAAGCTTAATGGGATAAAACTGGTTGTGAAAGATTCACCTAGACTGGCTCAACATTTTTCAATTTTAGAAGAATGGCTGCCTGAGTGAAATATTAACTAAACACCTGGAAGTTTTTCAGGAATGTCTAGGGACTATCAAAGGGGCCAAGGCCACCTTGTATGTTGACAAGGAAGCAATCCCACAATTCTGCAAGGCCTGCCCAGTGCCATTTGCCTTACGGGCAAAAGTAGAGGCAGAAATCAAAAGGCTGGAAAGTGAAGAAATCATCAAAACAGTCCAGTTTGCAGAGTGGGCAGCACTGGTCGTACCAATTGTGAAGCCTGACAGGTCGGTTCACCTTTGTGGGGTTTTAAACAAACGGTAAACTGCGTTTCACAGCTGAATAAATACCCAATCCCCCACATAGAGGATTTATACACAAAACTAGCAGGGGGCGCTGTCCTTCACAAAGGCAGACATGAGCCATGTTACTTGCATTGGCAGTTCACTGAGAATTCCCCGGCATATACTACAATTAATACCCATAACGGTTTGTACCAATAGACAAGACTGCCATCTGGGGTATCATCAGCCTGTGTAATTTTTCAGTAGACAATGGAGAACATTTTACAAGGTCTATCCCCAGCTCGCCATTTATCTAGATGATGTGCTAATAACAGGGAAGACTGATAAGGAGCACTTAGAGAGCTTGGACATAGTCCTTCAACATTCCTCCAGGTGAGTGTATGCCTCAGGAGGGAAAAATCTGTGTTGCAGGCACTCCAAGTGACCTATTTGGGGTACAAGTCAATAAGACTGGGTTACACCTGTTGGAAGATAAAGTGAGGGTGACACTCCCACATCTGTCCCAGAGCTTGGGTCTTTCCTTGGGTTGGTGAGCTATTATGGAAAGTTCATACATAACCTGGCCTCTATCCTGGCACCTTTTCATCAACTTCTTAAAGGGTCAGCCTTGGAAATGGTTGAAAGGTAACAGATTTATGTTCCTCTGAATTGCAGATGTGTAACATTTACATTAAAGAGTTAAATAAGGATGCATTGGTCCCAGAATTAGCTGAACAATGGTTGTGAATTTAATACCTGCACCATTTATTCATGTGTGTAAAATTGAAGTGAGGGAGAAATACTCCAGGAGTTATGAATTACCACAGCTTTCAGGGAAGTGAAGAACCAGCTATAATCTTCTAAGGTATTGCACAGTACGACCCCAAGCAAGATCTGGTAGAATAAAATAAATCAAAATTTATTGTCACTTTTACTTTTAAATGAAAAATACTACAGTGAAAAGTTTTATATGTCACCCTACCACGGTGCCTACATCAATGACAGACGTCATACAAAATAATAAAATTTGTAAAATTAAGACAAAGTTCATCACAGTTCAGTTAATGGCTCCTGGGCTCGGGGAAAGCTGTTTCAGGAACAATGGAATACCCTGAAAACGCAGCCCGGGATGAGACCGCTACACTGGGCTGCTGGATACTTGGCCAGAAGCCTCCGCTGAAGAAAGTTGCCAAGCCAGGCCAAGACCACCACTCCTGAATGAGACCGCCTGCTGGGCTGCTGGAATATCTGGACGCCAAAGACAAAGAAGACCTCTTCATTACATACATCATATTAGAAGCAATGGAAATGTATGTATTTCCCATGGCACATGACAGACAAAATATTTCATTCTAAATGTGTCACTTTCATCAACTGGCTGCAGTTTTTAACTCCTGGTTGAACTGGGATGGCTATAGGAATATACCTGGAGAAGTCTACTTGTGGAGTGCGTAACAATGATTTTCTCTCATTGTTGCCTGCAGATATTCCTCGGGTATTGAAGTCTATACAGCTGACTCTAAAGAGCACTAAGTTTGACAACAAATTGACAACAGCTTTGAGAGAATTCCAGGTGGGATGTATCCGATCAACCCAAGCTAATGCTAGAAAGGTAACAGATTTACGTTCCTCTGAATTGCAGATGTGTAACATTTACTTTAAAGAGTTAAATAAGGTTGCATTGGTCCCAGAATTAGTTGAAAAATGGTTGTGAATTTAATACCTGTACTGCTTATTAATTTATGTTTAATTGAAGTGAGGGAGAAATACTCCAGGAGTTATGAATTATCATGATCTTTGAACAATTAACTTCAAAAAGAAGAATTTCCCTATCAGCCTCCTCGCGAAGTTCAAGAAATGGCTGTATTTGTGCTGTTAAAATAGATTAAACTCTCCACAGCATATTTGGGCTTTAACTTGCATTGAAAGACTTAGGGCACAGAAGAACCATTTGGTCCATCATATTTTTGCTGGCCAGAAAAGGTCTAACAAGTCTCATCTCAACAGCTTGCAGCTCTTGTCCATTGCCTTTTATGTTTCAGTACCTCAAGTGCATTTCCAAGAGCTTTATAAATGTGGCTTTCTGCTTGTGATGTCATTTCAGACAGTGGGTTCCAAACTCCCAATTACCCTCTTGGTAACCATAAGAATATAAGGAGAAGGAGCAGGAGTAGGTTTTTCATCCTCTCAAGCACACTCCACTATTCAATAAGATCATGATCTGATCATAGCTTTAATTCCACTTTCCTGTCTTCTATGATAATTCCTTGACACGCTTGTCAATCACAGATTTGTCTAACTCAGCCTTGACGATATTCAATAACCCAGCTTCTACTGCTTTCTGGGGAAGAGAATTCCAGACTCTGTTGACCTTTTGAGAGAAAAACAACGAAGGAAGAGGGATATATTTCCAAGTATATCTTGGAAGGGAATTTTCAAGTGTTGGGGCTTCCATGCATCTGTTCCCCTTGTCCTTAGGGGTCATAGGTTTGGAAGGTGCTATCAAAGGAACCGTGGTAAATTCTACAGTACATCTTGTAGACAGTACACACTGCTGCCACTGTGCATTAGTGGTGAAGGGAGAGAATGTGGAACTTGGCAGTTAGGGTATCAATCAAGCTTTATCCTGTTGAGCTTCTTGAGTATTTTTGGAGCTATGCTTATCCAGCCAAGTGAGCAGTATTCCAACACACTCCTGACTTGTACCTTGTGGAAGGTTGACAGGCATTATGAAATGAAGTTGTGAGCTAGTTACCACAGGATTTGTAACCTCTGACCTGGTCTTGCAGTCACAGTAATTACATGACTATTCCAGTTCAATTTCTGTTCATTGGTACCCTCTAAGATGTTGATGTAGGGAATTTGGTGATGGTAACGCCATTGAACAGAAAGGGGTGATGATTAGATTATTTAATTTTGGAGATGGTCATAGTTAGGTATTTGTCTGATGTGAATGTTACTTACCATTTAACTTGCGTGTTGTCCAATCGTGCTGCTTCATTCAGTACCTGAAGAGTCGTGAATGGTGTTAAATATTTTGCAGCCATCAGCAGACATGCCCACTGCTGGCCAAATGATGGAGGAGAGGTCATTGATGAAGCAGCTGAGAATGGTTAGACCTTGGGGATTACCCTGAGGAACTCGTGCAGTAATGTCCTGGGACTCAGATGATTGACTTCTAACAACCATAGTCATTCCTCCAGCCAGCTAAGCATTTTCTCCCTGATTACTATTGACTCCAGTTTTCCTGATGTGGAGGTGCCGGTGTTGGACTAGGGTGGACAAGGTCAAAAATCACACTACACCAGGTTATAGTCCAACAGGTTTATTTGAAAATACTAGTTAGCGTTGACCCACTTTTCCTCGCGTTGCTTAATGCCATACTCAGTTAATTACTACCATGGTGTGAAGGACAGCCATTATCCCCTCACCTCTGGATTTCAGCTAGTTTTGTCCATGGTTGTAATCAGGCCAAAAGCTAAATGGCTCTGACTGAATTTAAGCTGATTGCCAGTGAGCAGATTATTGTTGAGTGAGTGCCACTTGCTAGCATTGTCAATGGTTCTTTCCATCACTTTGCTGATAATTTCTATTCAAGATGGTGGCAGAGTAGGATGCTCCAGTCAGAGCTCTTCTGCTCACCAGTCCCTTTACCTTCCTTTCCCATTTTTTTCTCTCCTCTTGTGATTTTTCCTGTCTTCGCTTACCAACCCCTCCCCCCTCCCTCCCCCCACCTCACCCCTTCCCACTCCCCTGGAGAGTGGAGTTCCGGAGCGGGTACGGGCTGAGTCCCACGGTGGAACCAGCATGGGCAGCGTAGCTTTGTGCTCTGGGGCCTGCAGGCACACCCCGTGAGCACCAGAACACCGTGAGCAGTGAGCCCGGAGCAGTCTGGGGAAGAAGCTGCAGAGCAGCACGCAGGCAGCAAGTCCTGGATGGAGACTGGTCTGAGGGGACAACCCTTACCTTCGAACTCACCTTAGAACACTGTATTGTTAACCCCTCAATATTTTCCTATTTTTAACTCAATTTCAATTCTGTAATTAAGCAACTACTTCTATTCCTCTGCTGTATCCAAGAATTGTACCTGGGTGCTTGTACCTAAGATGTTGCCATAAGAAGGCAGACATTGTAAAAGCTTTTCACTGTACTCGGACAATGGAGTACACATGACAATGAAAGGGTATTATATTGTATTGTATAATTGAAAGTAGCCTAATGGGGCAATAATTGGCAGGAATGAATTTGTCCTGCCTTTTTGTGGACAGGACATACCTAGACAACTTTCCATTTTACTGGGTAGATGCTTGTGTTGTAGCTGTACTCAAACAACTTGGTTCGGGCCATGGCTCGTTCTGGAGCACACATCTTCAGTTCTTATGGTCTGGCAAGTAACATCCTGCAGCAAAATTATAATATAAACAGAGACCAGAAGAAAAATAATATGCAAAGCTTACTGGAATAAGGAAAGAGGATTCAGACCAATTGCAAGTGTATCAAGTTTATTTGAGATGTCAAAGTATTTTTATAACAATGTTAAAGAGATACAAGCCAATATTTAATAAAGTCTCTGGGCCAAAAACATCAAGGCTGAGTTTTGTGTTTTCTCCCATTCCAAACTAGTTTATAGAGTACTGTAAATCTTCATCATGAAATAGAGTTGTAAGAAGATCATATAGTAGCATGAACAAATTCAAAATTACAATTATATTCAATGTAATTAAATAAACATATTTCCAGCCATATAGTTCACAAGAACTGATTAGTACCAGAAAGTTAGTATTGTTCAAATTCGACTTTATAGTCCAGCTGATAGAAGGGTTTTCTGTAATGTTCTTCAAAACTACAACAGGATGGTGTCATTTTTCTTGTAGAATGTGGAGTTCACCATCGACAGTCCACAGGCCCTTCATGCGAAAGGGTTCGTCATTGATCCAGTCAAAGCCACGGTGGAAGCTGGGACCGTGAAGGTTGTCACTGTTAGCTGGACTCCACCTAGTGGACACGATGTATGTTATTATATTGTGAAACCTGATAACACTAATCCCGGCTGTGCAATTTAATTATTGGGAAATGAATTCATTACTTTGTATAACTTAGACCCAAGTTTACTTTTGAAGATGAAACTTGTGGTAAGAAGTTCGATGGAGTAGAAAATAACAAATAGAAACCAGGAAATGCAGCTTTATCAATATGTACACTTCCTCTGATTCAGGTATTTCAAGTGTATACTATAGATCTACAGAATGAGGGCTGAGAAGTGGAATTAGATGAAGAGTTCTTTCATGGCTGACACAGATTGAATGGCCTCTTTCAGTGCAGTTTTTAAAACGTTGTTTAATTTTTTAAAAAAATATATGAATTAGATCCTTCTACTGTTTTAAGCCTACGTTTAACAATCTGTTGTTATAGTCAGGGTCCCTGACTGTACCATTTTGCTTATTTCAGCACAGTTTGCAAATTTTTGTTTGCAGTAGATTTTATCATCCAGCTTACTTTTTCAGGTTAAAATCAGCAGGAGTCCAACCATTGATCCTCAACACTTCCTATCAATTAGCATTCCTTAAGGTTTTGGTTAAGGTGAAGAGCCAAGGTCTTTATCCCGGGGAGGGGAGTCCAAAACTACCAGGCGTAGGTTTAAGATGAGAGGGGAAAGGTACAATAGGGACCTGAGGGGCAACTTTTTCACACCGAGGGTGGCGCATATATGCTGTAGAGGACATGATAGAGGCAGAAACATTTATAACATTTAAAGGACATTTGAACAGGTACATGGATGGGAACAATTTAGAGGGATATGGGCCAAATACAGTTTAGAGAATCTGGTCAGCATAGATGAGTTGGGCCGAAGGGCCTGTTTCCATGCTGTATGACTCTTTAACCAAATTCTTATTTAATTCCATGTTCTGCCCTGCATGGAACTTTATCAAAACTTTTTTTTAAAGCCTAAGAAAGCTATATTGTGGAAGTATAATTTTCTTGGGGTATTTCAATGTTTCTGTGGCTCAATTAATGTCATACATGTATTATTTCTAAATGATGTTTCATTAATAGAATGCTGGAATATTGTAACATTTTAAGCTAAAACTAGTATGTTTGAGTTAAATAGATTGAACAGTTAAACAGGTATTTAAATAGAATGTTTTAATTTTGTTTTCAAGCCACTTCAAACAATCTCAGCTACAGTTAAAATGTCTATCAAAGGAGACATCACAGAAAATTACCAAATCATTTTAACAGCAGTGGTTCATGAACACAAGATGAAGTTGAATGACTGAGGAAATTACTGAGAAGACTTCTTATAACATAGGATGCTTATATGTTGCAGAAAAGGCGAAGATTTTTAAATTCATATGTTTAACTTTTTAAAAGTTTTTAAATCTAACTAATATTAATTTTATTTACTCATCTACAATTTCTACCAATTACATTCTGCCATGGAAAGAAGCCTCTATAAGTAAAGCTTTTCAAATCTAAATAAAATATTTATATTTGTTCTTCATGTTTTGAATTTTCATATTTGCACTTTCTAAATTACTGTAAACTGCTCATTCTTACAAAAGACTCCAAAGATTTTTTTGTCTTTATATATTGCTAATGTAAACGTCCATTACGTGGTCCATTACACTTTCATTCTATTGTTCTTCTTCATTGACTGCTGCCTTATCCAGCATCTGACTTGTATACAAAGAACATTGTTAACTTCAACTTCATATGTGCATTTGTGACCAAGTTATTTGTATACCTATTTGGGGTTTGTTTAGCTCAGTTGGCTGGACAACTGGTATGTGATGCAGAGTGATTCCAAGAGCATGTATTGACTGACCTTCATGTCAAATTCACAACCAGACATCTTTCTCTAATGAGAGAGCAGCTCTATAGTCCTCTGGGACTATGGTGAATTTTTGTCAACTGTCTGAACATTGACAAGGTACCTCACAAAAGGTTAGGCCATAACATAAGAGCCCAAAGTGTTGAAGGTAGTACATTGGCATGAATAGAGAATTGGCTGTTCGGCAGGAACCAGCAAATGGGGATGAGGGGTTCTTTTTCAAGGTGGCGAATGGTAACCAGTGGGGTTCCACAGGGATCAGTGCTGGGACCACAACTGTTTACAATATATATTAATGACTTGGAGGAAGGAAGTGAATGTGCTGTAGCCAAATTTGCATACAATGCTCAAATAGTTTGAAAAGCAGGTTGTGAGAGGGCTAGAACAGTTTAGAGAGAGGTATTGTTAAGTGTGGGCAAATAAGTTGGCAAATGGAGAATAATGTGGGCAAATGTGAAGTTGTTCAATTTAAAAGGGAGAACAAAAGAACTGCATATTATTTAACTGGAGGAAAACTGGAAATTAGATGGATCTGTGGTTACTTGTGCAGGAAACACAGAAATCTAGCACACGGGCAGCAGAAAATCAGGAAGGCTAATGGAATGTTGGCCCTTTTTACAAGGAATATATAGAGTAGGAAGTCTTACTGCAACTGCGCAAGGTGCTGGTGAGACCACATCTGGACTACAGTGAGCAGTTTTGGTCCCCTTATTTAAGGAAAGGTATCATTTCATTGGAGGCAGTTCAGAGGAAGTTCATTAGGATGATCGCTGATGTGGAGGTATTGTCTTATGAGCAAAAGCTAAACATGTTGGGACTCTACTCACTGGAGTTTAAAAGACTAAGAGGGGTTCTCATTGAAACATATTAGATTCTTAAGGGTCTTGATAGGGTAAATATTGAGATGCTGTTTCCCCTCTAGGAGGGTCTAGGACTACAGGGCAGAGTCCCAAAATAAAAGGGTTCAGATGAGGAGGAACTACTTCTCTCAGAGTTGTGAGTCTTTGGATCTCCTTGCTGAGATATACACAGAGAATTTTTGTGTATATTTAAGTCTGAGATAGATAGATTCTTGATAGTCAGGGAATTGAGGGTTACAGGGAAAGGGCAGAAAAGTGGGCATGACAAATGTCAGATCAGCCATGTTCCCATTGAAATGGTAGGGCAGGCTCGAGGGGCCAAACAGTCTACTACTGATCCTATTTGTGTGTGTGTGTGTGTCAGAGATTCTGTCTGTGTGTATAAATGAGCTGGTGTGCCAGTTGTGCTGTAAATGAGAAGATCTAGCTTCTGGGAGAAAGTGATTTGGTTTTCAAAGATTGGAGAGGAGGAATGTGGAACCAATTAAGTTCACTCATGAAGTGAATTCCAGGCATCATGAGTAATGTGAGAATTTTGGTGTACTTTGTAATTGAGGCACACTACTGAATACTAGTGAGTAGTTACCAGATGGATAAAGTAATTGTGTGAAACGATCTGCAAATTAGAAGAAAGGGATTTATGATAGAAAAGAAGCTGTCTGAGGGAAATCGTATCTAAGTACCAGGGATTCCTGTCCAGCATTTATATCACCGTACATTAGAGGTTTCTGCTGGGTAGTCTGTTTTTCTTTTGTTTTTTCCTGAGAAGGGGAATATTTGGAGGGCTATGGGGTGGAGGGGTTGGGGAAAGAGCGGAGAAATTAGACTAATTTAATGCAGAGATGGTAGGAATTGCCGATGCTGGAGAATCTGAGATGACAAGGTGTAGAGCTGGATGAACACAGCAGGCCAAGCAGCATCAGAGGAGCAGGAAAGCTGATGTTTCAGGTCTGGACCCTTCTTCAGAAATGAT